TGCCAATTGGCTGATTGGAGAGCTTTCAGTTCTTTCTGCTCTTCATCTTTTCAGCGTTATCTCGGGCGACCAAAAGGACGCTTCCCTTTTGGTACCCCATATATGATGCTCTCTTGACGACACGATCCTCCCCCCATCCTCTCCAAGTGGTCGATAATGTTGTGTTAAAAACGTAAATGACACAAGATGTTAAATTTCACAGAATTTTTCACGCTCCGTCAGTGTCCAAGCTTCTCAACCATACATTAAGATAGATCTCATCACCGTTTTATAGGCACGTATCTTAGCTAATGAGTTATTCGTTCTAATGAGCTTGGACACTAGTTTATGCAGGGCTGCGGTGCATCTTAGGGAGTTTTGTGGCGGTTATTTATTTTGTATGGGTAAGGGTTTAATTTATTTATATAACATTCATCGTTTTTAAACTTAAAAAAATATTGACAATACGTTATGCACCGACAAAATTTAACGAGGAACGTGCTCTTTACAGCATAGAAATTCTACTAATTGAAAGCAATCAATCGTAGGTGGCGCGGCCTTTTGGTATATGTGGCAAGATCGTTTCACGCAACTCACCGTAAGACGTCAAATTAAATGACCGCCCGAGGGTAAATGTTTTTATACTCAACCGGAGTAGTTATTAGCCCCCAAATCATAAACAAATTCGTCCAAAACTTCGAGCGCAGTGATCCCAGTTAGGCATGATATGAACATTAGGCATGATCTACATCTTGTTATATTATGACTATATTGTCTGAAAATCTTTCCCATCCTTACACTTGAAAATATCTTTCGATGCAGCGGTGAAGAGTTTCGGAGATATGAAATCACCCTGTCTTATACCCTTTTGCAGTTGAATAGGTTTAGTACTACTGGACTGTTATTCAAACACTTCAGCACCTTGTTACACAGAGAGTCAATGATGACAGAGAGTCAACAGCCACGCTGAATGAAGGTTTTCTTATAGTCTACATACGACATAAAGGCAGATTATACTTCCCGGTCTTCTGTATAATCTGCCGCAAAGTATGTACTCGTATGTAGTCTATGTTATGGAAGGCTTTTCGGAATGTGGCTTGTTCAGGAGGCTGGAAGTCATCGAGTCTGGAAGCTAGACGATTCAAGATGAATATGTGCTGATGAACGAAAAGGAATATCGTTCGTCGAAGAACAACGACAACGTAGAACCATCCTAGAGGACGAGATTAAAGAGCCTCTGAATGACCACAGTATCGGTTCTCCACCCACTTTCAGAAGCTCAGCTGTAATTCCGTCCTCTCTGGTACTTTGCCATTTAACAGATGTTCAAGAGCTATTATAATCTCAGTTAGACTGATTCTAAGACCTAGAGAATATCTATAATCGAATAAGCTTCGCTCTTGGGTCGTTACTCATACGTGTGTGGCTTCAACGACTATTTGTACAGCTGACCATAGAACCTATCAATCTCCATGAAACCTCTGGTCTAGTGGAGATGATAGCCCCGCTGTCAGTCTTCAACTTAGTGAACTGACTCCTTCCGATAGACAGATCTATGGCGAAGACTTTAGCACCTAGGTTTTGCTGTAAAGCTCCTTAAATTCAAGGTGTATTCAAGGTGCATCAGTCTCGCTACATGTGATCTGCCTATTTAGCCGCCTGTAGACGGACATGTGAGTGAATGATTGCAGTCACAACTCATGTCTGGTTTCAACCGTGATGCAATTTTCCAGGCATTAGAAAGCGATTATCTAGTTTGAACTGAAAGCTTTTGAGTTCGGGATAAGGGTACGAGATGGACAGAATGTTGACTCCATCAGACGAGACTTTTCCAGCTCAATATTAAGATTCAATGTGCCGTTATTAGTCTGAACATTTAGGATCTGGAAGGTCGAGATGGTTGTCGCGCCATCTATCTGAGGTCAGCAGCTGCTTATGGCTTATCCCTTAGTCGCCACTTATGATACACAAGGGATGAGTTGATGCGGATTATACTTAGGCCGGCACCACACGGACGCAAAACATTTATAAATTCTATGAAATTGTATTTTAGTATGCCGCATAATATATCTCACAGTGATTAATTTAGATCTGATTAAAAAGGAATTCGTTATTGCTTTCCTGATGTAGTTTCTTCGGTTTTAGAAGAAGATGACCATGTTAATTACTCCTATTACGAGCTTCTTCCATTTGACCGCATTCAACGTAGGGCAGCTAGGGTTATCGACGATCAAAGTCTTTCCGATCGGCTTGATCCTATGGCTCTGCGCAGAGATGTTGGATCACTATGCATCTTCACCCGAGGAATTGTTTGGATTGATCCGAGCGGCAAAATTTCAACATCGAATATCGCACCAAAACCAAAAGATTCATACCACCTCAACCTTCTCGCACAACAGCGCGATTTTCAAGGTATGTCTTGCTCTGTGGAACCAGTTGCCGCCTGCGGTCTTTCCGAACCATTATGACCTGGGAACCTTTGAGAAGAGAGCATGCTCTTTCCTAAGAGGCCGGCAACGCATTTTGTAACAGAGTACTTACAGTGTTGCAGGTGTCCATGGGCGGCGGTGGTCACTTACCATCACGTCAGCTTCCTGCTCGTTTGCCGCTTTTTTCCCATGAAAAATAATAATTTAGCGGAATGTAATTATTATGTGGACAAGCTTACAAATTATGGTATATTGTCTGGTAAGGTACGTACTGCAGGCAAATCTGTTAGGCCTCAATCCGTCAAGTACCACGACCTCACAGAATACCGGCGTAAAGTGGAAGTATTGTACTTCTGCGTTTCATCTGGTGAGTGAGGTAGCCGGGGCCCACTATGTTAAAAGGTGGCAACGCATCTGCAACCCTACGAGTGTTGCAAATGTCAATGGGCGGAGGTTCGCTTAACAACAGCTCTTATTCCACCTTCTCACATAAAAAAGTGTGTGTACTTATGTATGCACGTAAGAAGTTATACTTCTTTAGCATAAAAAAGAAAACTAAATATTTTATCCCCTGTGCCAGTACTCTTTGTTTGTGAAAAAGATATTAAATGCAATATAAAATAGTTTTATTCATCATGTCGCTTTTAGCGAGTCGGTATGTTCGCGCATCGTAAAAATTTTACAGTGATATTTTGTTCCAAACGCGCTAAAGGAGGTATAACTTCAAACAAAAAAAAACAAATTTTATTTTCCAAAATGATATTTTGAAGTTAGTATAAAGTTTTTTTTTTCAATTATTCTTAAACTATTTGAATCTTTTGATAGTAATCACTTATTATCATTTGGGTCATTTCTTAGCAAGAGATCAATATTGTTTTATAAGAAATAATTCCACAGTTTCAGCTAGAATATAATATAATAATAATAATAAAATATCTTTATTCACATAGACGCTTGCGCGTTCTTATGAAACGTCAAAATTTTACAAGAAATTAACACGTTCGTAAGTTACCACCGGTTCGGAAAGCAGTTTCTGTTGAGAAGAAACCGGCAAGAAACTCAACAGTTGCTCTTTTTTTTAAAAAATCAGTTTACAATATAATAGTACAGGTACAATAGTCTTGTTTTAGCCTACGTGAGTATCAACAGTATTAACCCCACACATTGGCGTACGTCAAGATATTCGGCAATAGTATAATAGGCTTTAGCCATAAGTGTACTTTTAATTTTTCGTTTAAATTCATCAAGTGGCAGACTTAACATCGACTGTGGGATTTTATTATACATGCGCACACTTTGCCCCATGAACGATCTGTTTACTTTTTGTAGGCGAAATAATGGCGTAGTTAGTTTGTCCTTATTTCTAGTATTTAGTTTATGTCTGTCACTATTCTTTTGATAATTATTAATATTCTGTTTAACATACAAAATATTACAATAAATATATTGAGACGCAACAGTGAGTACATTAATCTCTTTAAAAAGATCTCTGAGTGTATTCCGGGCTCCGATGTTATAAATTGCTCGGACAGCTCTTTTTTGAATAATAAATATTGAATTTATATCAGATGCACTACCCCACAACAAAATACCGTACGACAAGATGCTGTGAAAATAACTGTAGTAAACAAGTCTGGCAGTGTCGATGTCTGATAGCTGCCTAACCTTCCTAATTGCAAAAACAGCGGAGCTAAAATTTATATTAATAAATATTTAGTTTCCGAAATCGTAGGTCATTCTTCATACACAAATTGTAAGAAAGCATTGGACAAGGTAAATTACCGTCTATTAATATGAATATTAGATGATATGGGTTCGTTGAGTACATTCTTCTCTTGAATCTATGGTAAAAAGTTTCATGTAGAAACCGACTCTATTAATATCAGGCATAGGCCATAGTCAAGCGAGTTTGTAATTTGAAGTGGCAACGGGCAGGGCACATAGCTCGCAGAATTGATGACCGATTAGGCGGCAACGTTTTCGAATAGAGAGCGCGGGTCCTAAAGCGCAGCGTAGCGCGGCAACCTGCGAGATGGGCTGATGACCTATAGGATGTAGGATGCAGGCCGCTTCTGACCGATGAAAGTGGAAATTCCTAGAGGAGGCCTATACAGTAATGCACACTTACAGGCTGAAATGTTGATGATAATGATACCAAAGGGTTTGCTGCTGGGTTCAATACTTTTTATTTTATTTAATAATAATTTTGTGGCCAATTCATCTTCATCATGCTTGTCATATGCAAACATTTTAAAAATAGCAGAAATTTCAAAGTACAAATACCAATAAGAATTGCAATCGATTAAAAGGATAATGTTGATGTTGGAGATGAATTATTAAGGTCCACGCGTTTTACAGAAATCTTTTCTTGCATTTTATAGAAAACAATAGTCGCAGTATTATAATTCAAAAATAAAGTTTGGAGTTCTCCGTCATTTGTTGGATCAAGAACTTTGGGGATCACTGAGTGCCAGAGATGCCCCATGTTCCTACGCACCCACACATAGAAATGTACCAATACCCTTTGTTTATGATAATACATCAAATTTGTGCGATTCGACAAGAGCCCGTTATTCGACGCTCGCGAAACAAATGATTACAAATGAATCGGTAGCAGGGGAGCTGAGGGGGAGGCGGGGACGGGGAGGGGGGAGGGGGCGTTGTCATAGCGACGCGAGACGATCGATCCGCCGCCCGCCCGCCCGCGCGCCTCAATTAAACAATGATTCACACGTTCGCGCCGACGAACGCGCGTTATGGGCACTTCCCTGATTTGGATTAACCGTTGCACCTGTATGCGTATACTCCCATTATTGCCCCCGAACACGGTAGGGTGCGTGGAATAATGAGCGGCTCGCCCGTTCCAGCTTTAGGTGCTCTCCCGATTGAGACAAAGGGTTGTAGCTTTTAGGGTTGTCCGTCAAATAACGGATTAGTTTTACAGCAGGGCGCGTTTTATTGAATAGGTACGTGGATGCAGTCTTGTAATAATAGTACAAAATTTGAGTGTCTTTCTCCGTACACGTGTGCGTTTTTATTTTTTTTTATGTGAAAGTTGTCGAGTGAGCAGGCGGTTCACCTAATGTTAAGTGAATATTGCCGCCCATGGACATCTGCTACATGCGACGGTATGCGGATGTCAACCGATGACCACTTTTTAAAAGGTCGTCAACGACCTTATAAAAAGTGGTCCCCGGCTACCTCACTCACCAGACGAAACGTGAACTGTTACTTCACGCCGATCGTCTGTGAGGTCGTGGTACTTCCCTGGACGAGCCTGCCCATTATACAGCTGAATTATATGTTATGGATGATTACAATGTATTCGTCGAGCATACCTAAAATCTATTAAATTAATAATTTTTGAACACACAAAATTTAACATAATTATTTATCGAAATTATATGGCCACTTATAGCAATTCGACTATCACTTATTCGAGTCAAACAGTCGTTCTGATCTTCTTCCTACGATTCAGGCGATTTTATTAAATGCCTTAGTTTCTTAAGAGCCCGTAGTAAACGGTTTATATTATTGAGGTTGCCACCATACTAACTACTTAAACAAAAGAGTCAATCAAGGGTGAAAAGAGCGCAATGCCTTTTTTACCTTAAAGAGTTAATTTAACTTACTAGACGTATAAATATCATACGTCAGTCGTCCGTAAAGCCTTTGTATTTTCTTAGTCAAGCCAGCCAAATCAAGCTAAAAGCAGATGCTGTTCGGCCCTACCACACTACGCCTTGTGTTAAAAGATTGGATAATGGAATTGAAAATTCAGTATTAATAGAGATTAAAATTTTTAGAAAAATGGAGGAAAAGTTTTAAGGGAATCGAACCCGCTTCTGCCGGAATCGCGCTTAGACGCTTTAACCATTAAGCTAATATACTAAGCACGCATACTAAAATCTAATTTATCTACTTACTTATTTTTAAGCAGTGCTTGGGGCATCTATTGTTATGTACTTTACAGCACACAAACAATTTCATATAACGTTTCGAAGGACAGATGTCGCCTTTGCTATTGAAATTTAAAGTTTTTTTACTCGAAGTCTACAGTGCAACAGCTTACGGATAAAAAAACGACGAATGATCGATTCGAAATATATTTTTAGTAAAAACGATAAACGGTACGTGTATTGCCGTACCATTACATATTACTTGACTCGAGTATAACTTGGATATATAGAAATGACAAGAAAACTTTGTCGGCGACAGACGTCTTTGAGTAAGGACGGTTCGTACTAATTAGACCGCGGCTAGCTCAAAGGGAACATGGCGCGTGGAACTAGACGCTTAATGAGATCGCGTTGGAACCGCCTGTGCCCGACAGATCCGTGGATTATCATCGGGGCCCTTTATTCCTGGCAAGCGCTTTTGTGTGCGCCCTTTAATAGAGTTGTCTTTATCCATTTTTTTTTATATTTTCCGTCTAAGTACAGCGTAGCATTTCATTGATCATAGGCCACTTAAAAATCGACCGTTTTTCTTTTCATTTTATTAAATAATGTTTTACTGTAGGATAAAATTAATAAATCTATCCTGTTTTGGCAAGCCAACCATCTCGGATATGAGCATAAAATCATTCTTCTAACATTTTCACACAATTCAGGTGGATTCTATACATATTATTATTATTACCTATAGGTAACTATCTTCTAACCTATTCAGATAACCGCAGTATTAATTGTTTTGTTACATTACTCATTGTGAACAATGGCACCGACTCCAAAAATTGTTAAATTATGTTAGAGGTTAGGTAGGTTATATAAATTTGATTTTCAAGATTTTTATTATATTAGATTTAGTATTATTATTAGTTTTTATTTTATTATTATTAGTTTTTATTATTATTAGTTTTTTATTATTATTAGTTTTTTAAAGTCGGTTCTTTTTTAAAACTTTTTATTTATTTTATTTTCAGTGATTAAATTTTAATGCTTAGGTATTATAAAATATAGGTAGACCTAGCAAAGACGCTGCTTATATGAGAAAACTGCGTCAAACTGGAACAGGGATTGAAAAAGGAAAACGATTAAAAGAAAATCTCTTAGCGTTTCAAATGAGCGGCCTGACCAGCGCAAATATAGATTGTTAAATAAAGATCCTATTATGTTACTTAAATCAAGAAAATTACAATAATCGTCTTAGTTTAATGCGCATTCTTTTCGATATTACTTTATTTACCAAAATTTTTTCTGTACTACCTATTTATCAGCAAATAAAGAAACTTTAACTTAAACTCAAACTTACAAAGATGAACTTGAATTTCTTTTCCAACATCAAGGAATGCTGTTGATATGAGATTTTGTCTATTGATTTGCAGTTCGAATTTATCCCACTGTCAGACAAGTAGACGCTTATAATGCACACATGATAGCTGAGAACGCGAAAACAGCGTATTATGTGCGTAAATAAGCTGTTTTCCCGACTGTTTACGAGACTAAATACATCTGCTTAACCAATTCGAGTGGACAGACGTGACGTTGTGTTATGTGATTGTAAAAAACAATGCGATATAAATATTTATGCGACAGCAGCAGTCGCGGTTGATTTTGGGACCTTTCGGAATATAAAAACCCCTTCGGAAGAATTTTGCAAATCCGTCTACATATGTTATGCCAGAACATTAATAAAAAAAACATACAAACATCCGAATTGATAACCTCCTTCTTTCTGAAGTCGGTTAAAAATGTCTTAGGACAGTGTGTTGAAAAGTAAAAATACTCGAAAGTTATTTGATAATGTTATTTCTCAAACGTTGGTCCTACGTAAACTTTCTTTGAGATCACGCGTTACGTTTTCTAATTACATAATTGGTGTTTTATGGTTTTTTGTGGAACGCTCTAAAATCTTCCTCATACTTCCATAGCTCCATTGTATAAACCGAATCCTTATAGCCTTCTCCTAAAGAGAAATACTTTTTACTGGTCCATATCACGTTTGTATTCAATAAAACGAAGCGTAAGCAAAAGCCTCTTATTTATTACAAAGAGAATTTTTCATTTCGCTCCGATAGCTCTCCTCTCCGATGTTCTAAATGAAATGATAATTAAACACCGGACTCAAAGCGAAACGTTTCCAATTAAGTACGTCTCTTTTATTGAAATCGCTCCCCTTTGTACATCGCGTCGTATCGCATTTTAATTACAAAGTTCGAAACGCACTCTTTTGGCGAATGGGACACGCGCTGATATTAATCACGTTGCTGCTTCGTACACGTGTACCTACAGTACGTGCGTAATGCGAAACTGCAATTAATTTCGATACCGACGAAAACCGCGGCACCGCGCAGGGGGGCATTTCCGAACGGTAGGTACATGCGAAATTTTTAATTACGACTCGACCACGGGTCGCGCGTAGCACGGGGGCAATATTTACGCGGGATTGGACCGAGGGGGGGGGGGGGGGGGGGGGGGGGGGGGGGGAGGGGGGAGTTGTTTGAACTAGCACCGGCGGCCGTTGCGCGAATTAATTCGGTTCGGCAACATGAAATTAAAATGGGATGACCCCCGACGTCCGAAAGCTTAGCGTCCAATTCAAAATAAACGACCGCCCCCGAACGCCGGCGACTGCGGTACGAGTAGGCACTACGAAGCCACTTAAAATAGCCTTGGGGAATTCGCATCTGGATAGAGGGACGCACGAAAGCTATCATCGGATCACATCGTCTTAACCTGCTTCGGTTGGTCCGTTTCAACTTTAGACGTTTCTTAAGGTGATATTGCAATAATGTTAGTATATCCGTACTAATCCTTACTTCCTTACTAATATTATAAAGGCGAAAGTTTGTATGTAAGGATGGATGTTTGTTACTCTTTCACGCAAATACTACTGAATGGATTTTAATGAAACTTTACAATAATATATCTTATACATCAGAATAACACGTAGGCTATAATATATATACATATTTTATGTATATCTGTCTTTCTGTCTGAATGTTACGCCTTCAGTCTATTCTACGCAGACGTAGTCGCGGGCAGCAGCTAGTACATTATAATTAATGTGAATGTAAGTTTGTTTGTTTCGCTTTCACGCCTAAAGTACTCAACCGATTATCATAAATCTTCGTACACATCTTCTTGAAAAGGACACAGGATTCTTTTTACATAGGGCATAGGATATTTATTTAAGGGCTTCAACGCAAAGCCGGGGGCGAAAACCTACTAATAATATAATGTACATTCGGTTGAAAAACCTATTATACAGAAAGATTGTTTTTTTTTAATCTGAAGAAGTGGAAAGCGAGTACGCGTTTCACCGGATACTAAATAATTTCGCAACCAACAGACATCTGTGACACCCGTGAGAGAGGTAGATGCGTTGTCAACCTTTAAAGGAATCGGCGCATTTAGAGTGGGGGACATTGTCTCAGAGACATTTGAAGAAAATTACCGGATATAGAAAACACAATCACATATGTTTGTACAATCGCTATAACAAGTTTAAACCGAAGTGGTAGACGAAAGTTTGAAAAGATAAGTCTTGTATCGAGGGATGCATCAAGCAGGCTTCCTGGACGGCAAAATCTGCACCTCGTTATCACGAGGAGAGAACAGTCGTGCGACGCAAATAGTAAAAATAGCAAGTGGATACAGTCAGCAGATTTTACTTATCGCTATAATTATAATCTGCTGACTGTATCCACGTCGAGTGTGGTGGCGATACGCCATTTCCCCCTGCCCGCAAACCATTACGACCCGTTTCGCGCGTCCATCGGAAATGTATTACTGTATATATTTGCTGACAAGTCTGGATGTGCTTTATCTTTATTGATCTAATTACGGACGCCGTTCGTGACAGTATGATAGGACGCGGGATTTACGCAGTTTTAATCCTATCGCAAGCACAGATTGTTTTATAATGGTTCGAAATACAAATAAAAAGACATTGTTTTTAATGTTATTAACTTATTTCTAATACATTTATAAATAGTTCGTGCTACCTTTTAAGCAAAAGTTTTCTCGTGTTAGACAGTAAACTAATATAAACTACTTAAATACCTACTAACTAATATATACATTATAACAAATTTTTAAATCCAATTTCCAAATCAAAAAAATATTATATATAAACAAGCAAAGCAGTACGCAGTAAGCAGAAATTAACGTATTTTTTTTTCCAGTTTAATTAATTTTTCAAACATGTCGCGCTAAAAATAACATGTGCGACACTCATAGAATCGGGTCGCCTCACATGCTATGAGCATTATGAGTACTCGGCAGTGCCAACGTAGCATTTGTGGTGCCTCGGAAAATTTAATTCAATCGACATGTCTGGTGTCTATTGACGACGGCGGCTTTTCAGTAAATGAACGAGTCCGCCCCAGCCGTGAATGCAATTCGCGGAGATTTTAAATTTCCCCCGCGCGCTTTCAATCCGCGTTGAATTCCCGCTAAAGCAATGTATATACGTCGGAACAAATTCCACTCGAGCGTCAGCGATTCGCGAAATATTTCATTTTACCGAGCGAATTATGCCGGGTTGAATGAACAATTACGAATCGCCTTTAATATTACCGCGGAACGAACATCAATGGAGTTATCGCCGAAATAAGAACAAACGGAAAGGGTACGTGATGAGCGTTAAATGTTTATCACTTAATTGAACGCTTGATCTATTATTTATTCAACTTTACGATACGAACTTACAATATACAAATGAAAAGATAAATAAGTTCATAAATAAAATAATCAAGACACGTTTTTACTATACAAGGCAATTGATGATAATAGGTAAACAAACTTTTCTTTTGTAAATCATGTATATACACCCAGACAGTGTAAAAACACTATGATCCTGTCATAATATTTTTCCAGTAGTGGGGATCGAACCCACACCCTCTGGTGCAAGAGACAGGTCCACCACCAGAGTTGCGTATCCAATAGTTGCGTAGCCACTCGGTTCATAAACAAAGAACTTGTTCGGATGTGCTTATGTGTATCATAGGAGAGCTGGCTTGGATTAAAAGAAGGGTAATAAAATATTTTTACACAGATTAATAATAATATTTTTATTGGGCTTAAGTTTCGCAACAAAACGTCGTCGACGACATTAGCTGTACGGCTGAACTTTAATATAACCGACTCCAGCGTTCGCATTAGAGCTGGCACGACGGGAATTTCATTCCCGGGGCGTTGAAATTTTCATGTTAAAATTGTACGGCGGAAAATCGAATGAGAGGACGATCGGATAAATCGACGGTGGATGGGAGGGAGGGGATTGGGGGGTGGGGCTGTAGACACGAAGTTTCTGCGAGCTAACCCATCCGATAGAATTCACCGGAATATTTCATGGAAAGTGATTTAAACGTTCAAACGGAGACTTTTTGTTATATCGGGATATTGTATCTAAATTGCCATTAAAAATGGAAATGGAAGGATCTCCTTGGTTTAAGGTAAAATCTCCTTGGTTTACGATAAATTAAGAAATATTTCAGGACACATTTTACTCAACGTTGGGACTAGAACCCCAACCTTAGCAACGCTCCTCTAATGGGTACTATTACTGATAAACGTAATTAAACATACTTTTCTTTTATAAATAAATACATATTATACATACATAAACACCCAGTTAATCACTACCCACTAGGCCAATCGGGTCGTCAAATGTTTTATTGTTTCGAATAATTTTTTTTAAACCAAATTTTAATCCAGCTAACGCTATACGATGCCGAAGATGGCCGATCGTCCCTCCCCAAAGGTATATTATCGCGATATTACCGCCGAGTAACGTATTATTGGTGTAAGAGTATCGCGAACTAGTTGCGGTTCACTTTTATTGTTCAAAGTTGCTTTCCCATCACGTACAGCCCTACGTGAGAAGCAACCGTAATCAGAGAAATATTTTTCAGACTTACACAGCGGCGGGGCAGAGAGAATTTTAGATAATGCCCCCGAGCACATGATTCTAAATAAACTGACGACCCAGTAACGCCGGCTGGATGGAAAGTAGTGAGACAAAGGAAACATCGCGAATGGAAGTTTTTTTCTTTTAAATTGTAATCCAGTATTTTTCCAACACACAAGCAAGCAAGTTAATTTTGCATAATTTCTCGTTTCCAGTCAAACAAGACATTTATTAATCGATCACTGAAATATTCCTATTGATTTATCGAGATCGGTTAAATTGGATGAGAACAAGCTTAAAACTATTCAACTCAACAGATATTTCAGTCACATCACTATCGACAGAATACCGTTCAGACATAATATCGCCCCACTCCATTAACTTCAGAAGGGGGTAGACACAAAATCATTACCCTTTGTAAAATCAAACCACCCCCGTTTAAACCAGATGTAATAGCATACCCTTCATGTCTATGTGATGTCTCTCGTCATAGCAACGCCTAAATTGGACAATAAGTGCACACTAGGTATTCGAAGGTGGGTATCGTAAGGTATGGCGAATGAAATGGGGGGATTGTTAGGCCTTGTGCGAAATTACTAATATAATATAGTACATACAAGAATCACCACTGATAGTAGTTCGACAAAAGCAAAATAGCACATTTAGCGAAAATTGGCTGATGCGAACTGCGGCGTCCTAATACGTAGACCTTACGATCAAAATCACTTAACGATATCATCATTTTGAAGGAATCGATATTAGATTATCGCACATGACATTTATCTGTAGCAGGGAGTAATTCCTTTGTTCCGAGCGCTCATGTAATGTGAAAACAATTTAATGATTTTTTGCTTTTATACTCTCCTAAGTTTTGTCAGTATATCCGCTCTTTTCAGGTGCTTTGTTAGCTTGATAATAATGGGAAAAGTTTTAAATCGCTATAGAAAATGACCTGTCCAGTACGAACACAAAGAAAGTTGATTCCTTTGTCTGGCTTGCAACGGAGGCGAATTGAACAAAGACATGTTTCTGTTAAGAATCGTTTCGTATTACCCGATTACGATACAATTATGTATTTATGTATACGTTTTCCATTAATTGTGTAAAAAGGTAAATATATGCTAAAGAAAACCTTTTGTTTGATATAAAATTGTAGTAGCAATATCCTTAGGTTCAAGTCTTATCATCATGTTTATGTATATTAAACATCCATCAAGTATGCAGCATTTTCGTAAAGCATAAGTGAAATTTCTTCATTGGATTACATGAAGTGTGTACTGCGTAGTGTAATAAGTATTCGTGTGGGGTGGGCGAGTGGGGTGGCAGCGGCCGAGCGGCGGAATCAAGGGCGCGGGGTGGGCGGGGGCGAGGGGGCGAGGGGGGTAGGGGATGCTGCGCGGCGGACGCGCAGATCAATATCTCACGTTGCCGGGGCGACGCCGTGCCAGACCGAGTGCCTCCCGTGCTACACCCTCGCACACCCACCCCCCATCTGCCCACTACTCGCTTATTTAATACATGCCCTATCTGGGATGGGAGCTTTTTCATGCTAAATGACAGGGCAGCGTAATACGTTAAAACTTTTAGACGGCGAGCCACTATTACGCATACGACGTTGCGTTGTTAGCTTCGAATTCGTGCACCCACGAGCGTGATGTTTCTTCGACATTGACCCCGATTTGGTGAGCCCAGGCCCCTCTTCGTGGTCTTCGCAAAACCACCCCGAACGAAGTTATTACAGGACCATTGACCTCGACGAGGGACGCTGGCCATAAACGGCGTGGTTAATAACAGTTCGCTCTGCCAAGTTCTAAAAAATATGGGACGCAATCTCAAAAATGGGTCAGCAAACGACTTAGAGAAAAACGTTTGGATTTAGATCAATACATCTTGAAGACTGAAGCCGAGAGGATGGTGAAATATGCTATTTAGTACAATTTGACCTTTTTCTCCAATAAACTTATTTAAACGTACAAAATTGATATTGAATTATCAAGATCTATGATAGAGAATAATTTGTTATAAAGAATAACATTTGAATTCTGGTCAGCATTGACCATTAAATTAACTATTAAACGATGGTTAATTAACTTAAATGCGGAAAGTAGAGAAACCGAAAAAAATATAAATTTTTTACACACAAACCAAATTCAAAATTCAAAAACATCAAAATATATGTAGGAATTAGATAGTGTGGTTCCTTAACCATGATAAATTCAACACATTTAGTTAAACAATGATAAAGACTGAATTATGTGTATGTTCTATGCGTAAACAAAAGAAACCATTTAACGCGAATGAGTAAAATATATATATACATATATATATATACATCTTAGAAGACTATTTTCTATTACATCCCCGTAAATAATTAATGTCGTCATCAATATAGAAGATGTAGAGATCACACAGCCTTTGTTAAAGATGAACGAGTATTGATCGCCAATCGTCTCATCTATTTCCAGAGAGCCACTTTTAACTTGACATATCAGCGCTTAAATAATTTGAGACTAGACGTAAATTAGTCGTGTTGATTCTGTATGAACGCAGTATATCTAGAAAAGAAATTATGTTTATCTTTGTGATAATGTCCTGCAAGTTATATAGTAAAATAAAAAAAAATCTAAGTTAAAAGAAAGACAGGTTCATCATATTTTATTAAACAACATATCATCATAGTGCATAATTTTAATTTAATTTAAACAAATAATTACCTAAACAAAGATACATTTAACATTAAGAAATGTATATTAATGAACATAATGCAAAGGTTTATTTTAAAAATAACATTAAACAGTATAGGTTCATAGAAATAAATTCTAAATTCATCATATCTAAAAATAAGAACTTTATGCTATATACAAAACATTTTATAAGTATCAGACTCTGAACAGAATAATAAAAAGGGTCTAGTAACTGTTGGGGACGAACAAAGGACCGTGGCGCGTTTTCATTTCAATAATAACACGTTCTTTTTATTATTGCATATTTCACAGAATTTAAGTGTACAGATTAATTTTATACCGAAACTGATGTGTTTAGTAGGTAAGATTTTATTTTTCTAATTATCGAGTTATGTTCTTACTTAATTTTTATTGTTTCTTATATTGGTACATTTTTTCAGTCGCCTCTAAGCCACAGTTGAGAATAAAATACGTTTACGGATAGCAAAAAACATAGTTAAAACATTTGATATGTGATTTGGATTGTTTTGTCGATGTTTAATTCGTTTGATATAAAACAAATCGTAAACGCATTTTTTCGATATTTTAATTTAGTAAATTTAGTGGAATTAGGCTTTTAACTCTTAGCACGTTATCAAGGTAGAATATTATTGAACTTTGTTTAAAATAATTATCTTTGATATTTTAAGAATTTTTATACATGTATTCAAAGGTGCTTCAATTTATGAGTACCGTAAGCGTAATATGAAATGACTTATAAGAGAAAATTTGTTTGCGCTTCAAGATTGGATAGAGATCAAGTTATATCCGTAGTGTCCAATGTGTTGTAATTTGCCGTGGGCAAGCAATTAAACGCATCAACAGCGTGGATTCAATAAATAAATGTCTACGATATGTGTTCATCTTAATTTATCTTATCTACAACATCTAAATTGGTTAGCTAATTCTCAACTCAGAATGATCTATAAAAGCAAAGCAAAAGAATTTTTTTAATTACATCAATTCAAAATATGACAAAAATGACATGGCGGAAAACATGGGTTAAATTTCATCCATCCATTTTCATCCATATATTTTAATGGCAATAAACATATGGATTAATAAATGTGTTTATGACAATAAAATCGCGTGTTTTCTACCGACGGCAAAGCATAGAGCATAAACTTAACGATATTGGAAATTGAATTCTTAATAAGAGCATTTTCAAATTTCGTTAATTTGGCTCTTTGTAATTATTTCGTAATAAGGATGTATGCGGTGTTTTCCAGGTGTTGGTTGGGTTTTTTATCGCGTTTTGTCTGCCTTAAACCCAATATTTATTACAATAATGACTACATTATAAATAAACTTTGTCAGTTAAATATTTGTAGTAATTGACTGTAGTTACCATTCGTAACTTTTCGGTATTCGCAACACCCATATGACACGTTAAATGACTTCCCACTGTTAATCTAAAAGTTTTCAATCATTACATTTTATTTTACATTTTTACTATAGCATTGCCTTAATTTCAATTAAATTTAGTGTTCCAAATTTAATGAATACAGTTTCAATTTAACAAAATTTATAACATTAAGATTGACATGTGCCATGTTTTTGTATTTTTGTTTTTTCACCATACATTGATCATCAAATATGTCCACGAAAATAGTACTAAGAATTATTGACAAAGTTATCTACTGACAAAGTTCTTGTCAGCACTGTCGTTATTTATTAGACTGTGAAGATAGGGATTCACATGAAATATGTGTTCAATGAAGAATAACAAATATGTAAAAAATATTTTAAACAATAATCAAATCTAAATTGTTCTATTAAAATAGCAAAAAAACCTTGGTTTACAACTTGCTTAAAAACAAATGTATTTAATTTGGAAATATGTTGTTCGTACATAAAATATAACATAAATTAATCATTTTATAATATGTAACACGCAATCACAGCGACTTATTGAGCCAATCAGTAACTAACGATGTATGGTAGTGACACGTATGAAATGTATGAACTCTGCCAAATATAACACTACATTCATGCCAATTTCAAGATACAGTCACGAGCAGTATTTATATGGATTTCGTTTATCAAAAAGCATTATCATTCTCAACCCATGTGTCATTTTATTCATAATAATATAATCTATTGAAATGTTTTGTTTATTATGGCAGGCACTTTATTCACTTTATCCTTTCCGTCGGAAAATTTAAATTTGAGAAAAACCGATATTTAATTTATGTTGAAATATAAATCAGTAAAAACTAAAACAAATTAACGAAAACCTAAAAATATAAAGGTAAACATTTCTAACCACAAACTCCTACCTTCTTTCTTCCACAAGCATTCCGCAGATAGAAAATGCTTTGGTTGAGGTATCATATGATATAAAACCTCTTTGCGTATATACTCATCGCAGTAGCGTATCCCCTTACAATGACAACAACGAAACCTGCGAAGTGTAATGATATGGAAGGGCTGCTAAAAGGGCAGTTGCGTCAGTAACGCGACACCGCGCATGATCCAATGACCCGGCGCCTCGGCCGTCGGAAGGCGCATGAAGAGGATGTAGTTGGTGGAGTGGCCGGTGGTGGAGAGCACGCCGCGACGGTCGCCGGTCTTGTACAGAGGGCAGTTGTAGAACACGTCCTTCGGTATGTCCTCCCGCTTGAGCGGTATCAGCCACACCTGACGAAAGTGCCCGATCCAATAGTTACATGATATTTACTGTTCAGTTTGGTTTAAACTCCAGTTCTTAAGAACGTCAGTAACTAGCGACGATTCAGAAATCTGTACTTTAAAAGACTGTATAATTATAAAATTGATTCTAGGAAAGAACTGTTCAGTTTAGGTTAATCTCCAGTTCTTATGAACGTCAAAAATTACAGCAGAGTGAGAGAAATCTTCATGTATATCTTCATTCCGTGTTTTTCTACTGTTTTAATGTTAGTGATGTAATACTAAAAGAACTAAGCTGTTTTGGTGGTGGGAAATCAAAGAAAATTGTGCACACCTATCTATCTATGGTCAGTAAAGTATACAAGTAAAATAATCATCATCTGTGTCATGTTTGGATTGACCAATGAATACCTTGCAAGGCCGAGGGCTATCTTAGGAAATATGCTGACAAAATACATCTTACATTTCATAAAACATAGGAATCCAATGTATCTATCTAACTTGCATTAAGAAAATGATGGAAGTATCCAAATGTCCAGTCAATCAGTTCTTACCGGTGGAAAGTTGTCATAGAGTATCTTCGGGTAGGATTCGTCGACGACGCATTCCTCCAGGTTCCAGCGTGCTCCCTCCATGAACAGGCCGTGGATGAAAACGCCCTCTGGCGGTGGTTCCGTCAGTTCGGTAGTGCCTTGGACCTGAAGAACAATTTAAAGCTTTCATCTTCATAGCCGTCGCCCCTGAGAAGCTTACGGCTGCAGATCTCATAACTTTCTAAACGAAGTAACTTCGCCGGTTAACTTATAATATTTGCAATAATGTATTTTTGCGACGATAAGTAAAATCACGTAGAGGATTTTCCATTTTCGGTCATATGTGGACATCAAAATTTACAAAAATTATGATTAAATTATTAAAAAAGTATTTTTTATTTAGGGTTGAATGTTTCATTAGAAATGAATATATTGATGGAACCAAATGTTTTCGCACATGGAAGCAAATTTTATGAAAAAGCATTAAAACTTTTTATGAAAAAAGCGGACGCCGGAAAATTAAGATGGCACCTAATAAATGATAACAAAACAGACGAATGTAAACAAAAAAATCCCCGTTTTAATTACTGTTACCGTTACTACTACTCGTGGGTATCTCTTTACACGCACAAAAGAATACGAAAGAGTGCCAAAAATTGACATCTGTTGTGACGCGAAACGGAATCAAGACGAATATTTTAAATATATATAAATATATTAAATATAAATTATAATTAAAATAAAAATTAAAATAAATAGCATGTGTGATATAAATATTGGCATTTCCTTTGTATGATCGTGGCCCATATTACGACTTTTGTGTGATATTGTAATGGTAAATGATAGCCAGCTCAGCTGGTACCATGGCAGTGAATTTAAGCCCTGCACAGCTCCTAGACCACAGTTTATTAAAAATGATGATGATGATGAATAAAATGGATTTTATGTTACAAATTTTCTTAAAATAACCTTTAAGTTTTAAAAAAAAAAAAAACACCTTAATACAAAGGTATATTGTACTATGTACTTGTTGTATGTAAGATTTTTATTTTTAGAGACCATTCCCTCTGAACTAAAACAACCATACAAAGTGGACAATCCCTGTATTATTCAATATATTTATGAGACGAGTGGAGAGACCTTTTAAGGTTTAGCCATTATAATTTTTATTTGTTTGGATTTGTTTTAATACGTTTTAAACCGTTTTAAACCGTCATTATTTTTCGACCAATATTTGTAAATGGAGATGTATTTAATTAGACGGCGAGACAAACCTCAAAATGAAAATCAAGCTGGTCGATGGGTATCCTGTATTTCCTCGCGTAGCTCTGTTGGGCGGCCGTGAGGAAGGCTTGCGGGAAGTAGAAGCCGGACAACCAGAAAATAACCGGCGGACCGTGTTGATGCCAGTGCTGACATGAAAGAACAAAATGCGAATATAGAAAAATATAGTTAAATTGGTATTAACGAGCTTTCAGTATGGTTTTTCTTTCAATTTCAATGTGTCGAATCCTTTCCGGATACGTATTTGTTTTTCACTTTCTTATGTAAAAAAAAACCGTATAAAAGATATTACACATAATGAAAATTAATTACTTTTAAAATAGGATAACGATAAATTAAAACGTTTTTTTCATCAAACAATGTGATATTATATTTTACTGAAACGCTGTGTTTCTTTAGCACAGATCTACAAAATAAAATTAAAGACTAAACATAACTAAAACCATTATTAGAAAAATCTGAATCTAGGGTCGAAAAATCAAAATATATATCTATTGCTTTACATCTAGCAATAACTAGTACCTATTAGTTAGTCGACATGATTTTCGAACTTATCTTGTGTATGTCAACCAAATGTTAATAATTTGCAACTTTTACTCCATTTAAATGAGTATGTGGAACTTTTATGGGCTGCACTGGGCACTAACCGCTTTTTTACTTCCTTGTTTCCGACGGGTGGCGTGAACAGTCTAGCAGAATATTTGTAGTAAAAACTTATGTTGATAAAATTTAAATCATTATTAATAGAATATTCTTTGTTACAAGAGGTTGTTCGATAAACAAGAAAAAAGGGAAACACTATTTATTTTGATATCCAACGTTGAGACCGCTTGGCATTCATAGGAACCAAACCGTCCTTTGGATTTTTCTTCTGTATTTTAATAATTAACAAACCAAAATAAACGCCACAAATGGTTAAAAAACAGTTTTACTTAACAATGTGTGGTGCAAGTAAAACATTGCACGATAAACATAAGACAATACGTAACAAATGTCTACATTTTTTTCCTTTTGCATTAATATTTTCGTTTTATATAATTCTGTTCAACGTATGGTTAGGCTCGCCCGGGGTAGTACCATAGAGTCACAGAAGACGATCGTGTATTGGAAGTTTTATATTTTTGCGTTTCATCTGGTAAGGTAGCCGGGGGGCCCGGCAAACCTATCCGTTTTGTAGATGCGGTTATCACTTAACGTCAGGTGTACTGTTACTTGGGAGAATTTGCCAAGTGATAGTACACCTGACCTTAAATAAAATCATGGCGGCTTAGTGAACGGTTGATTTAATTTGGAATCCATACAAAAGAGCCTTGGCCGTTGAATTTGTATCTGCGTTGAGAAATGCAGAGGTGCCACGATGGACAATTATCGTCACCGACACACGGCGACGCGAGCCATTGTTCACGACAATGGACAATGAAGCGTCACAGGTGTCTATGGCACAATCCGTACATCGCGATGTTTTGTTTTTCGGTTTTTTTGCGCGCGCCATTTTCAGAGTTTGGGACGCGCGCAATCAAAGTCCGACGGATAAGTTGTACCATTTTATTTTTGGACAATTTGCGTTCAAAAATAAAAAGGAAACATGAATTACACAAAGTTTAAATTTTTTCCAAGCTCACATTGAACATATCATTTAATATTTGTAAACTTTTATCTTTGAGTTTGTAGTTTTTACACTGGGCTAAAATATTAGATGTTTTTTAAATTATTTTTATTTCTGGCGATTCTTGTGCAATCAGTTCCCCTTTAATTTATTTTTATTAAAATTGCATTAGTGTAAGAACTGCTGATAAACCTTAATTAAATATAAAAAAAGCTTGCTTATCTCAAGTTAAACGAAAATTGAGGTTGAGCTAAAACTAAGATTTTATTTTCAACTAAAGTTCAGTGTTAAGTGCTGATTATAAAGGATACTATAAATAAATTTATATTAGGCAATTTTTTTGTGTGAGAACGTGGCAAGCGAGCTGGTGGTTCAACTGACATTAAGGTATAACCGTCGCCCATGGACATTTGCAACACTCGTAGGGTTGCAGATGCTTTGCCACCTTATAATACAGTTGGTCTTAATCTATATAACACGTCTACCTCATTCACCAGAAGAAACGCAGAAGTGTGACACTACTACTTCACGCAGGTCTTCTATGAGGTCGGGGTACTTACGGACGGACCTGCCCATTCGTGCAACAGCCGAAACTGTTCCGCGGCTCTACCACAGTTAAATTCATCAATTTTCAACTATAATTGACGTTTTTGAGTGCGCGTGTTATATTGTTTCCCGGAAAAGGTTATAGCATTATAGAAAACAATATAACGCATGATTCAATATCTGTAAGGTATCCATTGAACGTGAACGTATACTATGCAAATTAGTATGAACCTCTTATAAGTTCGCAAACTCTCAATTTTACGATAGTAAACTATTCCTTATAATTAAATAACTTGACCAAATAAGCAACTATAATTAAATTTACTTAAATTTAAGGAAAATCTACCTTTTATGATGACCACGAAACATTCGCTGATGCGATATTTTAGGTCTAAACCATTAGAATACCTGCAGAAACTCCAGCCTATTCAAGAGATCGTCGAAGTAGGAGGCCAGGGGTTTCAAAGACGGGTAGCTCTTCCCGGCCCAGAGTGCGGGAATACGTCCTCGAACCATGCTAGTTAGCACCTCCTCAGTGATATCATTTAACACGCTGATACCTGTACATTTTACAAATATTAGTTATGCGATAGCAAACAATTCCTTGAATATTGTAAATTGCGAGATAGTAAAACTATTGAAATACTAGTGCCCAAAATAGATTTTTCCTATAAATTAAATTTAAATTGATTACAATTTTCGAAAAAATACTCGTATAACCCAATTTTATTTTATACTCCTCAAATCTCTACTTGATTTTAGTTTGTTATAGAGATATTAAATTAAAATTGATTAGAGAATAGGATTAAATACGTAAGATCAGAGGACAATCGCTATCCTCTAAAATGTTTTTTAAGACAATTTTTCATGTAATCTTTATTTAAATTGCGATAGAAGAATGCAATCGTTATATTTCAATTATTTTCATATTTCTATTGAACTATTTATTACTCTAACTACGTAATGTTAATTGATGTTAACTTTTTAAGAACTCTTAAATGACAAAGAAAGCCTACGCTTTTATCTTGGAATTGCCTAACTACATAGTTGCAAATCCAGGGAATATTTGGATGTTTTATTGATTAACGAAAGGGAAGAAAGGACGTACCTCAAAGAAGACCCGCGTAAATTAAAAGTATATTTCTTCGTTTGATCCTGCTAACGGCAGGTTTCAATATTCTATGTGTAGGTTTGGTTACAGGGGATAGTACTTTGACGTAAGTATTATGGAGCTAAATTAATGTCAAACACCTACGGCTAGTAACTAAATCTACACATAGAATATTCAAACGGGTCGTAACTGTGGAAACCGGTGGCATTAATAAAACTTTACGGATTATATTCTGTAGCTATTACTTACCATAAGATGAAGCGATTGCTCGCAGCGACCTTTTTATATAAAATGATAATGATAATGACTTTTGTGTAACCTTGTATGGCGCCTATAACGGCCTTGGAGCTGCTTCTGACGACCTGAACGAGCCGCTCGTAGCGGGCCGCCTCCTGGATCACGACTATGGACATGGGGCTCATGTCGGCCGGCTTTATGCTGCCCTCGTGGGAGGGCCCGCGCAAGATCTGGTCGGGGAGACGGGCGAGAACGTCCTCGGCTATCGCCATAGCCTGCTGCTCCGGCGTTGTGCCAACGCCACCGGCGGCCATTGTGTCCTACAGAGGAAAGAGAGCAGAATGAAAGGATCTAGATTCATAGTGATACAAGCAGCGTGTGTAAGAAAAGCAAAAGAAGGCACAAGTGGATACATCGATGTACCTTGCATATGGTGAACGATGAAAATCATGATCGCAAAAGTGCAATATTCAAAGCACAATACGTTTAAGCAACGGAAAAAGAAATAACTGAGGGATTAGCCTAAATTTTTTTATAATAACGCTGCCAATTAGAACGCATTAAGACTTTCAAGACCTATTGTTTAGCGCAATGTCACATCTGCTTCGTTACTACTTAATCATAGTTGCTCTATGTACTGGCCAGTTATCAAAAGTGACAACAATTATAAATAGTTTTCCTTTCAGAGGTCAAAACAGATGACAACATCAGCGTCATTATTAGACTCAAAGGTTTGAATAATTTTCTTTTTGATAATAGCAAATCGTTTCCAAATAAAAGGTTTATAAAAATTTTGGGATAGTTTAATTTCTTTTCTATCTTCAAAATGTTTAACAGTTTTCACTCGTGTTTTTCTCGCAGTGGCTTTTTTCTTTTTAGCTCCATTGATCATAAACTACAAGTCGGTGTTTGTAATCTAACCGAAACACGTTGGCTCGTTGCCATACTATCAAAGCTTGGCTTGCGTTTTCATCTTCGCGTAAGAGTCGCTCGATTAATATTCATTCAGATTCTTTCTTTCAAAAAGATGTGCGCGATACGTGTATAAAATGAGCAACATAAAATAACCGACTTAATTTAAAGGTGTGTTAGGTAAAAGCAAAAACTTGCATTTACTTATAATTTTTCCGATTGCGAAACAATATGTTTAGTGTTTAAGCTTAAACGGTTTTATTTATTTTGTTTATAATAATGTGAAACAAGAAATTGCATGAGATATGTAAATTTGAATATTTATTAATGTGCACAAAGATATATGAGAATAAGTACTACAAATAAGTATATCTGATGATAAAGATTGAGGTGCCATATATGTATAATTAAGCTTCGGTCAAATGCTCTATAATATTTGCATAGTAGTTAAATTAATGTGGGATTGTTAATTTGCTGTATGACAATTATTCTATAATACAAACTGTGAAGCAGCAGTAAGCTTTTGACATATTGAAATACAATTAGAAGCAAATTCCAGAGCAAGCTATTGATAATAAAAGCAATAATCGCGATAAACCTTAATACTTACTAAATGCTTTTTCAGGAGATCCTTTGGACATACAAATGTTAATTAGTTTATTAAAGTTAAAAAAATAAAATATGCAAAAATATAGCAGTGTGCGTAAAATTTCTTACCATTCTGTCCTAATGCAGTCCGACGGCGATGAAAAAAAAAGACAAAATTTATTATGATAAAAATAATTTCTTCACGTGAACAAAAATGTTACTTTTTAGTAATGGATTGGTTCATATTCCAAATGAATTTTATAATGATTTTAAATAAAAGAACAATGAATAATCATTGTTCGAGGATAAAGTAGTTATTTAAACCATAAAAATTCGTATTTCGCATTTGGTTACAAGAGGAAGTCGCCTCGAGAGAAAGCAGATATATACAGCAAATAGATAACGATGCCAGATGATGCAGTTCACAGTTATTGCTTCGATTCCCACACGGGACAGGTAATGTGTCACCCTCAGATAACTGTTGCCGATCTGAGCGTTTATATCAAGGAGTGTTGACATCAGGTAGGTGGCCAGTTACAGAAAACTTAGTCAATATCATTAACAACATGATTTACACGCTGCGCCAACCGCACCTAGGTAGAATAATTGCAGGAGAGACTTAGTCCTGTAGATTGTTTGCGATAACGATATTAATCAGTTATCGTCAAAAAAAGTTGTTATGTTGATTACCCGTGTACAGTCTACTATTAAATTTAGTTTAGTTGTTTAATTTATTTTTGATTGTTTTTTATTTGTACATGTGGTGTTTATCTTCAAGTAATTGTTACACTAATATATGTTTAATCTTAAGTTATTTATTGTAAGCTTTAAGAAGTATCCAATGTAAAAATTGTTGATAAAGCTCTTTAGATAAATAAATAAAATAACCTGGAAGATTGAACAACGAAAAGGTGAAACTTAATTCCTTACATACTCTATTGGTTTTTGACATTTTAAAACAATGTTTGAGCATGTTCGACTACATCCCCCATTCCAAATTTTGGTATCAACTGATTACTGTCTTCTGGCAGACGCGTGATCACAACACTTCTGGTTTGACATAAGCGTTTATAAAAGTGGTATTCGCATTATCTTTGAGAAGGCGCTTTCAGTTGCCAGCATTTAACAAATAGCTACCCAATACGGGAGCGAAAGTGACGCACTACACATTTCAGTAAGAACAAAATAGTAAAATGCAAAAGGAATAATATAATGGTTATTACATCTGACATATTCCCATTACCTTATAGAACAAGTTCCTCATAACTGTGAATTTTACTCCAGCGTTAACATTAATCCCGTTTTTAAGTAGGGTTTTCAGTTTTATGGATTTTTTTATGGCTACACGTATTTCATTTAGATGCTCCTCTGCCCATTTGTTAATATCTGAATCACCAAAACCAATACAAATTTAATGTTGAATGTAAAAATGGGAATCCTATTTACAACCATTTACAGAATTCATTAAAATATTTTTTTTCTGTTAACCCTTAACTGTCTCTGTAATCTGTTAACTTAATATATTTTCAAATCATAAGTCACTGTGATCTTCGTGTCTTTGCATTTGCACCGTTCTATATTGTTCGAAAGAAATGTCGATATAGACTTAAGGAATGTAGATAAAAAGCATTGGAAATTGGTTACTTAATTAGAAGTAGGTATGAATGCGTCCTGCTAGATTGTTATATAAGTTAAAAGTATGTTAAATGTATTTTTTACATTTGATGGAATATAGTAAGAAATTAAATTAACAAAATACTTAAGAGAGCTTTTATGTATTTTAGGGGAAATTGGTAAATTAACTGCCTGCGGCATTATACTGCCAGTGAAGAATATAACGCCAAGGATTTTATTACAGGGAAATTTCTTTCACTCTCGTAATTCGTCCCATTTCGTTTAAGTTACGGACCCTAAAGATGCCTTTTAGCATAACTTTGATATACTAAGCTTATAACACGGCACCGTATCTCAAGTTGAACGGTGTTGTTTTAAAAATATACAATCAGGAATATGAAGAAAATTTACATATAAAGTAGGTAACTCTGGGTTAATGGACAAAAAACTTATTTACCCTAGTAGGTTTAGTTTGATAGAAATAATGAATGTATATTTGAACATTTGGATAATAAAATGAGGCTTTTGTCATTGATTCTGTGTGTCAGTGTAGTTTAAAGTATGTCCTTTAGAGCTGCGTAGAATTATTTTTTCAACATTAATTTCATAAAAATAATTTGCGCTTTTCTGTTATGGAAATTTATTCACAAATTTTTCTTCAACCTTTTGGGAGCTACATTATAATAACTTGGGTCTGCTTTAAGGATTCTAAAGAGCGGTCTAAGGTCACGTTGATGGCTGATAGCATAATTTAACATTAATCTCTGCTACCGACGATGTTTAACAGTTTTCACTCGTGTGACTTTATTTTTTCCTTTGACTTTATTTCCTTGTATTGTGTGACTTTACACAATTTAAAAATAACTACGTATGTTAACTTGTGTCTCCATTAAGAACTCTTGTGTATGGCTAAGCGTCTTACGACCGGTCACCTTCCAAAAGGTGGGTTGCTCCTACAAATACATTAATATGCCAAATTCGGAGAAGTTATCTGTGTGTGAAATAAATAATCGTATGGGAAGCGAACTACAATTGTAGCACATAGTATAAAACAAAGCCATCCCGCTGTTTGTCTGTCCCTATATATGCTTAGATCTTTAAAACTACCAAACGGATTTTTATGCAGTTTTCTTCAATAGATAGAGTGATTCAAGATGAAGGTTTATACGTATAATTCATGCATAATATAGTAGAGAAACACTGATAATTTTAGAGGTTTCTAATTCCATATCGAAAACAAACGTTCAGCATTGCACCCGACCTGAGCCGTGACGGGTCGCTAGTGTAAAATAATTGACTTAAGCCGAGGAATGGTTGATCGATCAATCATTTATCGTGGTACTGTTTCAAACATCTAATACACACTATTTGTACCAACGCTTAAGTATTAGGGAGAGGTTAAAATTTATTGTACTATTCTTAACCTTAGCTTTACATTAATAATTGGTACGTACCGGTTTTGTACTTGTACTGAAATATAAGTTACTTCAAACTTTCTTTATTGAAAATTAGGAAATATAATTACTAAATCTGAGTAACGCACAATTTTTACAAGGTATTGGTTATGATTTATCTTGTAAAGACAATGACAGAGCTTAACAGTTTACTTTTTGTTAGGTTTACATGTCCGCAACGTTAACATAGTAGCTCTTCCGTTTTTCTTCGTACTGGATCTAAAAGTACTGAAATTTCTAACTAAATTCTTACGTTTAATTTAATAAAATACAAACTTTGTTACTCAGGAACCAAATGTTTGTTTATGGTAGGAAAACTTCATAGTCGGATCCGTAAAGCAAACTCAGATATGAACATTATTTTGGCTTTGATGCCGACATTGACTATCAATTTGCGGTTTAGTCCATTGATTAACTTATTAGGGGATTTCGTTTATAAGATTTCTTACGTTCAAAAATTGCTGTCACATATCTCTGCCCACACACCTTTTCACCACCTGTTCTATTTTGAGACATATTCAGCTCAGAGAAACGTGTCCCGGTTTATTTTGTTTCTATAAACTTTGTTCTTTCGCTTTTATCTCCAATTTCCAGTTTGTTTTTAATCTGTTATATTTAAATGAACTATGAGAACATGGCGCGGATACCGCCTAGAGGCAATGATATTGTATACAAAGGGGTATATGACACTGTCGCGCCAAACTGAGGCACTCAAATTATGGCAATTGTTTTAATTGATTAGTCTGCTATCTCGTTCCATATCATCCGTTCTATAGCATATGTCCCATTCACTTATATATGTCGTATAATGATGAAAAAATTATATAATCTAGAACATTTTTTTTTAAGTCGCGTAAGATGGATGTGTCAACATTGCAATATACGAGTTACCGAGTAAACCTGTTTCATCATACTTCTCATACGTAGAGTCAAATTTAAGTTCAACACCAACAAATATATACTTATTAAATGAAACTGACGGGACGTTCCCGTGACCGTGAACGCTGGAAAGGGTTCGAAACGTCGGGGGTTCAAATCAAAATAAAAAACGCGATAAAATCCGTAAACTAGTTTCATTTAATGTGTATAATATTCGCGTAAAATCAAGAAAAAAAGTATACTTATAACCCCAAAATCTTTATTAAAACATCATTGCCTGGAGGTAAAGTATACACACGTAAATACATCACGTAACACCGCAAAGCGTGACCCACCTGCGTGAGAATCGCTGTGTCCAGCAGCTCGCCGGCCTCGCGGAAGTGTTTGGTTATGTCCGCGTTCGAATGGAAGCCGAACACGGCGGGCGGGGTGGCCGCCGGCAGAGATCGGGCAAACGACACAAAGTCGGCGTGCTCCTTCAGGGTCGGGATGTAGTATACGCCTGAGAAAAGGAAAATGGTAAAAAGTACGTAGATGTGGGTTTTTTTTAAATAAAATCGTTACTTTTCCACGATTTCAAATACGTCTTATTACCCGCCACTCTAACTTTCGAGTCCTTAATAACCTAAACATAACATAACTGCCTCCAAAGGCAGTTATGTTTATGTAACAACTTACAAAAGTTTTACGCGTTGGTAATTTTATGTATCTTTTGTTTAAAGATACGATGATTACTAAAAATATAAAATATTTGCATCCGTAGTTTGTGTCTACAAAACTCAAAAACTAGCCGACGGTATTGAATTGATATTTGTTCACAACATAGCTGTTGAACTGCAGACTGTTTTTATATACTTTTTATTCTGAAGTTCTGAAGTTCCAACGGAAACGAAAAAAATATGACAAGCTAGATCGGGTTCAGCTATTGATTAATAAATAATTACGTTTCGCAAAACACGAAATTATATAGTTAAATCACTTAAATTGTCTCAAAGCGTCAATCAAATCCTTCTTCGAGACGTTTTCACGATAGAGGTTCAATCGATAACCCTTTTACCCTTTACTGCCTAAAACGAAAACATAATAATAAAAAAAACCCCGTGACTTGTACGTTTTCATTTTTAGCTCGTTTTTCATTACTGTACAAAAATGCGAGACGAGGCTCACCCGACGGATCCAGAGGATATTTGTGCTCCTCCACGGCCCTAGTGTTGTAGAACTTGTACAATATGGTGTTCAAACAGCGTCTGTCCCAGTCGTCTGTTACACGGCCGCCATAGTTGCATTCTCCGGTCAAGTACCGCAGTGCCACGAATTGGATATCCTAGAGCATAGAGGATCACAAGAGGAAACATTCTCGTGAGTGAGAATCAATTCACGTCAGAACATAACAAATACTCCCGCTTAAGTCGGTCTACTTCCCCGCATAGGCCTGCCCATTTGAGAAATAAAAACAATTCTTCGACTCTAGTATATACCAGTTCTATCAATATTCGGTATATATGTGTAATTATTTAATTCATGCTCTTGAATGTTGCTCTTTAACACATTAAAATGAGTCTTTGAATGTCACAGTCAGTGAGTAAAACCAGCAACAGTTTTGCGAGAAACTGTTGTTCTACCATATGTCAGAAGAGTCATCGAAAAGATTCTGCAAGACCCGAAGAACATTTAACCTTATTTCATGTACAATATGCCTCTTCATAATCCAGGAGTATATAATTTTGGCTGTGTATGCGAGTTCTCTTACATAGGACAAACAATATAATAATAAATAATAATATAATAAACTATGTGGTATTCGCAAAAAAAAAAAATAAGAAATTATCGGGACTCTTTAAACTTGAGTTGATCTCCGAGCACACACAGAAATAGGTGAACAGTACACAAGGGCAAAGAAAAAAATGGCCATGTATAAGAATTCTACTGAAGTAAAACGTCGATATCGGCACAGCCCATGCGCAACGTACATAGAAAATGTTTTTGCATACAAAAGGTTGACTAGCAGATATTGCTGATGGCAGTAACTCCGCCGCTGTATATCTTTTGTGTGCATAAAGAATAAATATAGACATGAACTTTTCGCATCTCCTTAGCTACAAATAAATGTGAACTCACATCGTACTCGTTGAGGAACATGTAGAGTTGTGTCACGCTGATCCGCAAATCGGTCTCGTTAAACTCGTACCGGATGTTCCAGCCGAGCGGACCGAACTGGCGCCGCTCCTGTACCACGGCGTGGAAGAAGCACAACGCGAAGAGGAGCTTCTTGAACACCTCGGTCTGCTTGTTGCCTTCGAACCACTCCGGGTCGTTGATGGGGTCGCTTTGGTACGAGCGAGCTATGTTCGCGCGGAGACCTGTGGTAATTCCGAGGATAATCGCTAAAGTCTTGCAGGACCCGTATATCACATGCTCATGTTATAATAAAACTTATTAAATTCTTTACTTTATCCAAGTTAAATTTAAAATTTAATTCATAATTTATTTTTAATAGCGTATTTGATATCCTGGTAATGTGTTACACGTTTAATCCGAAAAACACCGTTCGTCCGGAAAGATAAAATTACATTTACGAAAATAAAAATTAAGACGAACAATTAAAGAATGTAACGTCAGCAAAACTATAATAAAGCCCATACAGGCAACCTCAAATTTGACAATAAAACGAACTCAACAGAGGTGTTTTCTTCGTTGTTACTGTCGTATAGAGTTGAACGTGTTAGAAAGCTAGAAGCTTTTGGAAACCAAGCAGAACATAGTTCGATCTACGAGCGTGTATCGCTTTGTACCTTGTGGTGGTTCATTGGTCATCTTAACGCCGTTTTGCAAAACGTAAACTGGAAAGTGATCGGCTGGGTACGAGGTCAGCCACAGTCGGAAATCTGGATGTGTGCTGTCCGGTGTCAAACCTTCGCAGATCTGAAATAAGGCTTACTCAAATAATTCCTGTAAATTATTTACTTCAGACAATTATCTGCATGAAGTTTTAAGTAAATTAATTGTTTGTGTGGTTTAAAGTACAGTTACAACAGTAGATAGAGACACGTTTTTCATAATAAATTGGCAGTATTAGCTATATTTCCACACGCCACATTTGAGATAATTTCGCTATACGATTTCAAAATAAACAAGAACATCTAACGCTAATTCAAATTTGGCAAAACATCAACAAACATTACCATAAAGTTAACATAGATTAAGTATTTTACCACGGTACTTTGGAAATGTTCCACAACGAAGTATGACGTAACTTTTCGTGTTTTAAATTTTTAAGTAAATAATTTCGGTCTCATATTTCTTAGAAGTATAAACAATTAATTAATGACGGTTATTCAGACTAGTCATAATAACCGTGGTAAACGCTGTTAAGTGTCCACATGGATAATTGACACTGAAACAGTTCATCTAATAAAAGATAAATCACCTTTTCCAACATCGGCATCCAGCTCTTGGCTAAGTGACAATTCTGCAATACCACCCAGGTGCCGCTACGTACACCCTCATCGATCAGTTTCACCGCTATCGGCCCTTGACCTTGGCCCAATGACAATGAAAATAGACGGGACGATCCGAAACCCTGTGTGCCAATATACGGTCGTACACGTTACAAAACAACAGTATTCTACAGGTGGTATGAAATAACATCAAACTCCGTACAATTTACAAGCATTCTAAGAAATGTATTTCAAACAAACAACTTTTGTATTGTTTACTTTAGATCCACCACGTTACATGACACGAGAACGCAGGGCACTCTTTGAGAGCATTATGCGTAATTTTATCGAAACTGTGACGAATGTTATAAAACGAAACAGATTACACTGTGTCTCCTCAGCCATATAGGTCACTACATTACATATCGTGACATGTGACGCATGTAGGTACAGATTGATGCGTGCATAGAGCGATCTATAGAGCGTACCTGGTCATCGGCAAACTTCAGCAGAGTTCCCATCGGATCTGATCCCGGTGTCAGTACAAATAGCAACGGTATGCAGCAGTGAGACTCGGAGTACGAAGAAGAGAGATCGAACAATGGCGGCTCAATAAACTGCTTGCCCAATTGTCCTGAAGTCATAATCATTTAGGTTCTGAATCTATCGGTAATCTATCTACCCTAGACACGTATAATTAAATCATCGAGTGTGCCACCACTGCCTCTTGTTCGAAACAAACAATGAGAACCATGAAATCCTAGGATGATATCCCTTTAAGCTAGTAATATAGGCTATGTTCTCTTGTACTTTACCTTCAACAAAATTTTGTACGCCCGGTACCATCATATCCATTCGCATACATCGTAGTACCATTAATTTCTATAACAAAAGTGGATATTATCAGTATTTGTTTTACATTTGTTTAACTAAAGCAAAGAGCCAATTATGGTATTTATCATTAGAAACATGGTAATCCTCATTTTATACATACATACATAGCATTTGAAACATCTAAATACTAAAGCCAATAATCACCCGGATTTTTTTAATGTTTTCTGGCAAGTAAATCTTTCACTTAATAATTCTATTATTAGTACACGTAATATTAGTGGTAAAACAGTCGAAATTTATGATAGTCGTGATAATGCAAGCGTCTTAAGGGCAAGAGTGTATTAGGCTTTTACGTAATTAGTGCATTTACTTTTTACGGCTGAATATTATACATTTCTGATAGCGACTGGCTCTAACTAGCTTTTATTTTAAAAAAAAGTGTGTGCGTGTAACCTTTACGCGCGATTGAAGTAAAACTTCTTTGGCGTTGACGGCATATATCACTGAAATGATTAGATATTTAGTAACGTCATAAGTATATGTCATATTTTTAAAATATGGCATATACTTATGACGTTACTTCCTGTCAGAAAAAGCGTTACTTCCGTCAGAAAAAATCGTGAGTTACTCCCTAGTCGCGCGTAAAGAAGTTTTACTTCAAAAATATTTTTGCAACCCACCTGAAACGCATCCAGTTTGGAGTTCCAAGGTTCAGGTAATGGTCGGTTTTGAGGGTCGGGAGTGTCGCAATAGGCCTCCCATTTTGCGATGTTTGCCGTGAAATGGTTTATAATACCATTGAATTTCGGAATTTCATTCAATCTAGAGTGGAAAAATTTCTTTAATAATCAGATCAATCGATTTAAGGCCGGTTTTATTACCTATATTTTTAGTTACTAGCGATAGGTTACTAGATATATGACATAGCTCCATAATACTTACGTCAAAATTCTATGTCCAGTAAATAATCTGAAGATAGATATAATATTGAAACGGCCGTTAAATGTAATTGGATAGGAGAAATTAAGGAAGTCAAATTTCAAATTCAAATTTCATGGATTATACTACGCATCATACTATGTAAGAAATTAATAAAAAGATCATCAACGAGTGTTCTAACTGTTAAAATCTGTCAACAAGCTGCTATTGTATATCAGCTTGTTGGCAGATTTTAAATAGAAAAAACGTAAATATACTACGCATCATACTATGTAAGAAATTAATAAAAAGATCATCAACGAGTGTTCTAACTGTTAAAATCTGTCAACAAGCTGCTATTGTATATCAGCTTGTTGGCAGATTTTAAATAGAAAAAACGTAAACTTACTGCTAAGGCAAGTTACTTTTGTCTCAGTGTTCAAAAAGCATGGAATTTAAGTTTAAAAAAAACGTGACTGTCACTTGCTCCGCTATTTAATTTGCTTTAATGTGATTTGCCCTTTTACTTTGCCAGAGCACATTGACGTGTAAAATACGAGTAACGCTTAAACACGGACCCTTCATGGAACCATACATCTGTACAATGCAATTCAAATAAGAATAGGACTGGTTTCACACCATCTTGTGACGTAATAGCACTCAATTGAAAGATATTTTTGAAATAATAATTATTTACAAACAAATTTTACATTTAAAGAATGATTAGAAACTTATTGAAAGATTTAATAGGAATCTTGAATTAAAATTAAATTTAGCCCTTTAATAATAATTATCCTGATTTTTGCATCACTGTCTGGCTTAGTAATTTGACGATGAAGAATCATCAATCAATCATCACCATCATCATCACTGCTGCTTTCCCCAATGAAAATAGAACATGTATTTATGTAGGTTTCAATTATAATTTGAATAATTAATTACTACGCCGTAGTTTTCAAATGACAATTGACAAATCGCGATCGTTCGTCATTGACGTTCCCATTCTTATTTGAAACGCATTATACATACATTCGATAACTGCGAGCCACAGTTGCCAAGGTAATGGTTTCGGCACTTGCACTATTTTGCACGTGACTTCGAGTCCCACAGGGGACAGCTATTTGTGACGATTAGATAATTATTTCGTATCTGAGTATATGTTGACGTGAAATTTGTGTATGTTAAAGGTCCTTACAACACAGGATAATTTAATCCTGCAGTAAGAGCAATGTTCTTAAGTAAGAAAAACCGGCCAAGGACGACTTAGATTCGCGCAGGAAGGGTTCCGTACCATTATGTATAAAAACAACAAAAAATCATGTGTGATGTATAGGAGCCCCACTAAAACTTTTTTGTATTTGTTATTATAGCTACAATAGAAATACATCATTTGTGAAAATTTCAACTGTATAACTATCATGGTTCATGAGATAACAGCCCGGTGACAAACGGACAGAGAGAGAACCCAAGAGGGTCCCGTTTTAATCTTCGGGTACTATACTTTCGGGTTTTATACTTCGGAACCCTAAAAAGGAACATAACCATGCTTAGCTCGGTACCACCAGATCCGCTAAAGTTTCAGCGTATCCGAACTAGTCGGGCGACGGCGAAGCAGAGCCTTTGATAAGCGTCATTCGGGCTCACCCGTTAAACTCCGCCCACGCCTGCGGACTAATAAACTGCACCGGGTTGGGCGGAATGTGCCGCGGCTGGGCGCCGCCCAGCAGGAAGAGCACGTCGCCCTGGCTCAGACGGCCCTCCGCCACCATTATTGTGATCGTTAATAATAACGAAAATACCGTTTTATCCTGAGAGACGTATATAACAACAAGCGATTCTCAATAAATGATTTTTTCATATTTTTCGTTAAACTGAGGATGAACTGAAATAACAACTTTTTTAAAGATTAGAAAGAGATGCAACGTGATAAGAAAATAGTTCCAAACTTAATTTCGCACTTTATTTTTGATAATCAAATGAAGATCGCTAGTTTCAGAGCAGCGTTCGTGTAAGTCTACTAATTCTATTTATAGGGGTAATTCGTCTCAAAGGAAATTTCGACTAAACTCAACTTTAGGACTTAATTTCGCGTTATAATGTCGTTTTCACCGATTATTGGAAGAATATGTTACCAATTTTAATACAACGCAAGTGAAATGATTTTGAGTGCGTTATTGTGCGTAAGCATTTAGCAAAAGATATAGAAAATACATTTGTTGTTAGCCCTAACATTTAAAATAATGATCGGATAATATTCAAAATAATGCCATGGGTATATAAATATGGCAAATATTATATGCATATTTCCATATTTATTCGGACAGTATTTCTCGATATCAGATTTCGGTAAGTAATGAACACTACCAAATGGGCTCGTCCAGTTATAGTTGGTTTGTGGGGTCTGCCAATAAAAACTTCCTAACTATGCGGCATGTATTGTAGGATTGTATATTAGGATTGCCGCTTTTTGCATATATTTCTGGATTAATATATCGTAATAGTTTTATTAAATAATAATATGAAAACTATTGTAAATACAAAATAATGCATAATATAGAATATCCACGGAGACCTTTTCGAACAAACTCCTGCAGATGTTGTTGTAGAGCGAGTAAGTGAAGTAAGACCGTAATATCTGCAGGCGTTCTTTAATATCGTCCACTTTTTCCGTGTTGTCGATGGCCGATATGAAAAGGCCCTCGAACCAGCCCAGCGAGTACTGGTACATGGGGTCAATGTTCGCTAAAGACGCTGCAATAAATTAATACACACATACATCACTACATAGTATAAAACAAAGTCGTTCCACCGTCTGTCGGTCCCTATGTATGCTTAGATCTTTAAAACTACGCAACGGATCTTAATGCGTTTTATTTTACTAGATATAGTGATTCAAGTGGAAGGTTTACATGTATATTACATTGCACCTGTGCGAAGTCGGGGCGGGTCGCTAGTAAATCCTAAAACACTCCCAAAGTCACCCAGCGGGGTAGGCGAAGATCTTGTATTTACACAAGGCTTACACAACTTTTTTATGAGATAAACGTTAATCTTTTTAACGAAGACAATGCAGCCTTCAGGTTATTTGATTAAATATTGGTTTATATTGTTATTAATGATTATATTGACTTTAAGGAACTTAAACTTATAAAGCTGACTTAATTAGAAGGTGAAGTAAAAATTAAATTATCTATAGTAAGGAGTAAATCTTGCCTATTAAGAAGAATAAATTCGTCGAATGCATTGCTATTGGGACATAGTCATCTCTCGCTTCATCAATAGCCTTCTCCGTGATCATTGCGACTTCCTGCTTTTCCTTAATTTCGTTTGCCATATCTTTAGCGGAGTTTAAGATCTACAAGTGAATTTAATTTAGATATAATTATGGTAAAACAACTAAATTGTAATGAAACCCACTCTTGAACTACTTATCATTATTGTAAGCAGATAATGCGGAATTTGTTGAGAGTTAATTGCGTTATAGCCTTATTCGCGTAATTTGCATTTCCTCGTAAATATCAGTATAATCATAAATTTATCTTTACTACATACCTGAACCGCTTCTTCATCTTCCAGCAAATGTTCAGAAGTAGACAGTACTGTGAGAATCTTCTTCTCTATATCTTGCAAGAGACGCCTGTGCTCTGCCCCCTGAGTTGTGAGGTCCGCTTTGGCTTGTTGCAGGTCGGGCCTCTCTCTTGCTACCACGCGAGCTAGCAACTGCGCTTGCAATCCGTCCTTTGCCAACATAAAGTTGACCAGCGTCACTCTGACCCCCACTTCAGGTAGATAGTGAGGATTGGCCAGTTTGGTACTTATGTATAATCTATGGAAGATTATCATTTGCTCGCAATATTCAAATACAACTTATAATTTTGTTACTTCAAGATACATAACACAATAATTAGCCTTACAAGAGCTTTGTTTATTTAAATAATTGTATGTCGAAAGATTATCAATACTTATTACAAGGTTCGTGGCTGTCTTCTAATGCGGTAGAAAAATACGAGTGTGCTTTTCATTTTCGTGTAGTGAAATTACTTACAACAGTTTTGACTCACTTAAAATCTTTGCTGTACTCAACTATGGCATCTCCAATTTTGATGCAAAGTGCGCCACCTTGGCGGAAGGTTTGCTGTTGTAACAACGGCTCTAGCATGGGATCTAGTTCCTCCAAAACGTTTTCCAGCAATACCTATATGACAAACAGTTAATTAGTCAATTTGAATTGTAAATGTGTACTCATGTACCAAAATGTAAATGAGTTAGTAGTAGTAGTAGAGTTAGTAGAGTTTCTTGTATTAACTGATGTTTTTGCTTCTAAGCCATATGAAGACACATCTATGCATTTTTTGAGCTGGCGCTCCAACTGATGTTTAATGATAACTGCCATTTGAAACACCTATACAACAACATTTGCAGTTGACTATAGTACTTAAGATCTGTAAGTACCGGTTGGCCGAACTGTACTGCGTTTTCTAGCACTCGGCTAAGGTCCGCTTGGGTCATTCGGACCACGCACAAATTGTTAGGTTTCTCCATGTTCTTTATCCACCTGTTGGCCTGCCCTTGCGGATCTATCATTAGAGGCCATCGACGTGCCGTCCTGAATATCAAACAAAGTTTTGATTAACATTTATGTCTGCTACGTCTAAGGCACCACTTTGTGAAACACAAAAAAACACTAAAACTAAAAAAAAAATTGCGATACTGGTAAAGAGCCATTTTAAGGAATAAAAACGGATTTACCTGTTCCTATATGTATTCACACTTGTATTCACCGATACTAAAATTAATATCTAAAATACTTTAGTTATTCCTTCGTATGAGTTTTAACCTTATAGATATTATTTGAGTGATTAAAAATCTGTATATTAATAAGTGAAAAGCAAAATTAGAATCCCTTTTCCGTACGAAGGAGCGCGAGATTTGGCATAGTTAAACTTTGCATATGGAGAAGAAGTACAAACAACTTAAATTTTTATAAAATATGTGTAAAATAAAATAAGAACTTGCTTTCATATTGTCAATATCAAACACGTAATATTCTATTGTCAAACAGTTGGACATAATAAATATTGTCGCTTAAGAATTTTAAACTCTCAGATCGATTCTGAGCCAGAAACGATCTGAGAGTTTTACAGGTGAATTTCGACTAATAGGCGACTAAATAAAACGCGTAGTAAAGAATCCCGTCATTATTATATTTTTTAACAGAAACAATGGAGAGAAACTGAGAGTTTTTGAAATTCCAAGCATGATAGGCGTTCTTATCGCAGGACAAAGTGACGAAAACAACATTCCCAAGAAAATTTACACTATCCCGGTAATAGTCAGATACTTAATACAAATTTTTGTAGTGGCACGAAAAACCTGAATACAAATAAGCATTTTACATGCGTAGTATTACAATATTTTCAATGAATGATAGAAACTTTTCGTTACGCTAAGGGTAACATAATTTATAAGTTGTAATATGGTTACACAATCGCACAGTGATAACACATTTTTGAAATGTTCATCTTTATTCCGTCCCCATCATCAGGCGATCAAGCGTACGGACTCCTTAAAAAAGCTTTTTCTGTATGAATGTTAAAGATTAATTGATAAACAGTAACGAAAGGCCAAAACTAAAAGCAATTTTACCCTAAAACAATCATCCATAGCTAACGGCCCGTATAAAGGAAGTCGACTATCTCACGAAAGTGGTTAATTCAGGAGTCTAGTCTTGGGAAGTCGGGGATATTATCACTCACATAATAATAATGGCACTCTCGCAGCTGAAGTCGTCGTCGGGCAGGCCGTCGATGTTCCACTGCTGGATGGTGACGGGCTCGCCAAGAACACGCGCCAGGCTATATTGCAGCGTGCATACTATGCCGCACTCGTCGCACGCTTTCGCCCAAGCCTTTATCTTTAATAAGGAATTACATTAACTGTATAGGCAATTGGGATATCGATCGTGTTTTGTTTGATGATTAGCGATTAATTTCATCTATTGACATCCACTACAGGTATTTTGGAGATTCGTTAACAAACATTAAGATACCGAACACAGCGGAGTAGCAAAAGCAGAAATGAGTAGGGAGGTTACGCTGATATTATACTTTCGCGAAACCAGGGCCGACCTTTTCATGGTTGGCTATATGCATCTATGGCGTTCAGTACTTAACCTCGAAAATTCTATGAGACAGTGGTTTTTTCTCGCAAGAACCGACCAATTATTTATATCTAAACTGGCGTATGGAAACTGGACACAAATTTTCAACAAGCGAACACCTTCTTCCCTCTTGCAGCACTGGATGACCAAGCTCATGAGTCTATTATTATGCTGTCAATTCAAACATTTAAAGTAAAAAAATAAAAGACAAATAAAAAAATTGAAATTTATACCTGTGAATTCCTGAAAGCAGCAGTAAAAGGACCAAGGTAGGCTATAACGCCAGCTGCGATTAATATATCACCTGAAAAAAAAATGAAATATAAAGGCATGACACATCAGACAACCCAATATTTAAGTTATTTGAAATTCTCCTCAAGTATTAAAAAGTATTTACCTGTGAGGGAATTGTAAGTGTCTCTGAGGGTCTTCGCTATCTGAGTCCACCTGGTCTTTTCACCACCGAGGCCCGAAATAAGCATTTCAGCCCGTTTCAGTTTATTACTGCAGTCCATCACTTCATCGTCCAGAATTTTCTGCTGACGGCTCTGTTCGGCCAATATTTCCTCTAGCTTTCCTAACTTCATTTGTACCTATCAATTGAAATATGTCCAGTCTCAATATTTGGCCAAATGGGAGTCCAACATTCACAAATCAGTACACAAATTTAACAGATCAATGTTAAAATTGTTAATCGAAAATGAACCTGATGTTCTAAACCGTTGAAATATGGTCCAGGTAAGGTATATACATTTTAAATTTTCTTAAAATATTTCGGTGCGTACCTCTTTGAGCTGCGCTTGCTTGATCGCTAAAGCGGCCATTGCCGCGTCATAAACGGCCTGTGCCGCCGCCAAACGCTGCTTTTTCGGCGCCACGATCTTGGCGACCTTGTCGTATTTCGTCATAGCAATCACCCACTTACACATGCCTGGTTAACACCCTTTTATTTTAGTTATAGCCTAGAATAGAACTAGAGAAGAGCTTAGAGAACGAAGAAGAATGAGCAGTTCAAATTCAAGCAGAGTGTGTATGATGGGTGATCGAATCGAAGATTCTGACTTAAAAAACGGCTATATCACGCGTGTTTGCAAAATAACTTTACAGTTTACACAGACCAATAAAACACAAAAAAAAAATCATCAAAAATACATGTATCAACTTGACTCGGGTACAACTAAATTTTGTTAGAAAAATATATATAAACACTACCTAAGCCAAATAAGTTTGGCAGTGAGTTTTAATAATTTTTCTTTAAAGTTCTTCATTCATTGTTTGCTTATGATACCTTCAGCCGCCACGGACACCGTCTTTATCTTCTCCGGCACGAATCCGTCGTCCTGCATCACCGTGGCCATGAGCTTCTTCATGACCGGCGGCGGAATGTTGTCCTTGTCGTAGTTCTGCAGTGACTCCAGAAATCTGATGTCGTTCAAAAGCTTCTTCGACGGTCCCCAGTAGTCCTCGATGGTTCCCACGCCCGATGGATTCGGGATCCTGTCAGGTTTCACTTCCTGCGATATTTTAATTTTTCGATCACATTCATTTTATTATTATGGGGGATATTCATTTGTTTTCTCGTCTGGTTGGGTTTATAAATAAAAATAAAAATAAAGATATAGATATATATTGCATATATGAAATAAATATTATGGATAAAAATAAACATATATATATATATATATATATATATATAAATATTTTATATAATACATATATAAATAGGACCCAACCTTATTATTATTATTATTATATACTTTATTGTACACCACAGAGAATTTGATACAATTAGTATGAAATAAGTCTTAAAAGCTAGGTACAATAAGGCGGTCTTATCGCTAAAAAGCGATCTCTTCCAGACAACCTTAGGACGAGGAAAAATAAACTAATGAATAGTGGGAGGTGGTGTGCTCAATAAACTTACTTAATACCAAAATAGACTTAAATATAATAAGATAAACAAAATTATAATAAACATACATAAACATAAATAAATATATAATATATATAAATAAATACACGAGAGAAGAATTAAATCTGAATATTGCCATTAAAAACTATGGATTACAAAGCGATAGATAATGTTGTTTTACGTCAATTTTAAATTTGTCTAGCGTCTTCGAACGACGAATTTGCTGAGGAAGTTCATTCCACAAGCAGATGGCCTTAACTGTAAAGGAGTTCTTATAATATTTAGTTTTGTACGCATGTGGTGCTAGAATTAGATCTTCAGCTGATCGCAGAACTCGTTCTGGATGGTTATGGCCAAGAAACTTAAAGTGTTCCTTTAAATAGCTTGGAGTCCTAGGGTTAAATAATACACAGTACAGAAGAGAGACAGTGTGTACATTCCGGCGAAAACGAATGGGTAACCACTTGAGCATTGAACGAAATTCGGAAACGTGATCATATTTGCGTAAACCAAATATGAACCTAATGGCTAAATTTTGAATACGCTCAAGTTTATTTAGTTGTTCTTCGGTTAAATCAAGATAGCTTGCATCCGCATAATCGAGAATGGACAGGAGTAAGGATTGTGCTAGCATAATTTTAGTTGGAATGGGAAGAAAAGAACGTAAACGACGGAGAGAACCCATCGCAGCAAATGTTTTTCGGCTCACTTGATTCAATTGTTCCGACCACGAGAGGGAATTGTCAAGATTTTTCACAGTGGTGCAGTACGGTATTATAACGTCATTTAATTTTACCAAAGGAAGGTTATTCCAGTCAACTCTTGAAATCAAACCAACACCACCAACAATAATAGCCTGGGACTTAGTAGGGTTAACATTGAGACCATAGATTTTACTCCATTCACTGACAGCGGCCAGGTCATCATTGATGGTGGAAACAGCAGTAGGCAAGTCTTCAAGAGTTGACTGTGTGTACACTTGGAGATCGTCTGCATACATGTGATAGAGAGAAGTGATTTTTTGAGAAATTGAATTAATGAATACGGCAAATAGAAGAGGAGACAACACACCACCTTGAGGCACTCCGGCGCGCAATTCACACCAAGACGAGAATTCATCCTCTATACGAATACGCTGCCGTCGGCCACTTAAATAACTTTGAAACCAGCCAATCACTAGTGGAGATATGTTAATAGAACGTAACACACTCAACAGAATGTCAAAATCGACGGTATTAAATGCATTACTAAAATCTAGCAACACAAGTACAGTGAGCTGTTTATTATCCATACCCCGTCGAATGTCATCAGTAACTTTAACCAACGCTGTAGTCGTCCTATGACCTGATCGGAAACCGGATTGAAGAGGATTAAGAAGAGAATTTTTGTTCAGATAGAGATTTAACTGTTGGAAAACTAGTTTCTCTAGAACCTTTAGACTGGAACGGGAGAATAGAAATAGGACGAAAATCGGAAAATTGCAATGCATGGGCTTTCTTAGGGAGAGGAGTCACTTGAGCACTTTTCCAAGCTTCGGGAAACTTGAATGAAGAGATTGATGCGTTAAGGATATGGGTGATAATAGGAGTAATAAAGTCAAGGATAGGTAAAATCATATTACGACTAACGTTGTCGTCACCAACGGCATTAGACGAGATTGATAATATGTTCTTCTTAACATCACACTCAGTGAAAGGAATGAAATTAAACGGTGGAAATTCAGGAGCTGGCATGGAAGAAAGAATGTTCATATTTAAAAGAAAGGACGATTTTTTTAATGTTAAAAGTGACAAACTAGCTGGTGCTTCACCCGATGTTAAGTAATAACCGCCGCCTATGGACATTCGCTATGGTTGCAAATGCGTTGCCATCTTTAAATAAATTGGGCCCCGCTACCTCACTCACCAGACGAAACGCAGAAGTGTAACACTTCTACTTTACGCCGGTCTTCTGTGAGGTCGTGGTAATTACCCGGACAAACCTGCCCACTCGTGCAACAGTGAAAACTGTTGCGTGGCCCTACGACAGTTGCAGTTATTATGTTAACAACCGTTATGATGATCTTAAATGATGAACTTAAACGTACAGCAGGAAAGATGAGGAGTGTCATGGTCAACATACAAAAGGGAGACTGAAAACCAATTATGTTTAAAAATATAGATGACGCATGTCCATACTGCGTGGCGTTTAAAATTGATCCGCTTTACAGTATATGAATCATGTATATGAATGTGACAGATGATATAGAACTTATGTTACGGAAAGTGATAGCAGTCTACAGGATCACAATCTAATTACACCAATTGGTGTAATTAGAGTAGATCATATAGATTAAGTGGCCAGTAATAAATATCGATTTTATAAAGATCTTATTTAGGAAACTACAACAGTGTAAGACTTAGCTATACGTGGTCACGTTTTAAAAAATAAGGAAAAATAATTAAAAAGCAGTTTTTTACTCACCGGATCGTCCTTCGGTACAGCATTTTAAAATAAAGCATAAATATTAAGCAAATGATTTACAGCCTGGTATTCTTTAACTCGTAATATCTACTTTACGCCAGCATATCTACGTTAAAATATTCTAAATAGTATTATTTCATGGTATATCGAATTGAAATAATATATTATAATTTTTAATATTTATACGAACACCTTAAATTATTAAATGTTAACATTTTACGGATTTAATCGCAATTTAAGCTTAATAGAGACAGTCTAACCCGTAACAATGAATGCTCTAGTCTTCGAACTATTGGAATTGGTAACATATTTAAGCGCGATGATACCCGTAAAATAGGAATATAATATCTAGGACTATAAACTAAATTTTAATACTTGGAAGTAAAGATAAATTTGATCTTGCATTAGCTTATATTGTATTTACTATATCTATCACTAACCCGTTATTGTCTATCGTATTATAAATAGCAAATTGACAATAATTTAATATTATTACCTTCAGTATGCAAATCGCTTCCATTACTAGTTTGATTCCACGCGGCGGACTTTTCATTGTTTTGATGAAAGTTATATCTTGTGGCGTTAACGTGTCCAATGCAGCCAGTGCAGCGTTAAGAATTGGCATCGCTTCAGCCAAATCAGCATCGCATTCGTCTTTTATTGCTTGAGCTTCCTTCGCCTGGATGGTGAAGAACGTTTCCGTTGTATGTGACATAATTTTTTGTTTAAATGTCCTAGACACTTTACATTTTATACACTGTTATCTATTATAGAAAAAAGTAAAGTATCAGCCTATACATGTCCCACTGCTGGGCAAAGGCTCTGTAGAGAGGACTCCACTGCTTATTGGCGGACTACGCAATATATTTTTTTGAATTTATTATTTCGAAAATATGCAGGTTTCCTCACGTTTTCCTTTACCGCTGAGCACGTCACAATTCGGCACTTAAAATTAACAATTTCATTGGGGACCGAACTCAGATTATTGAATTATATTAATATTATATTAAAATTATTGGCACTAGTTAACTTAGCGACAGATACTTTAAAATATCCACATCAGATTATATATATAATCATCATCCATCAGATTATACACAAAATAAGCGTGGACTCAGCAGCTTTGGTATGACTTAGCAACAACATTTTAAAGAAAGACAGTTAATTAATAATTATAAAGCATCGAGTAAAAGGCAGCGAAGTATTTTGGAAGAAATATTACCTGTTCCTCAGCAGCGGCCTGATCCATCAACACTTCTGCTTCAACCAATGCAACTCCTTCTTTCTCTTTCTCAACCTTGGCTGTCGTTTCGGCAACAGCTGCCGCGCCCGCAGCCAGCTTTGGCTGAAGAATTTCTAACGCCTCTTGCAACGCGGCAACAGATTTCGCTGCAATAGCGAGTTGGTCCAGCCCAGTGATGTAACGTTTTTCATTCGTCAATAATTCTCTGTAATTTGAATGCGCAAAATATGATACAGCATAAATAAAAGGCTTAGCTTTGTTTATAGTAGTATATGACTAGCCATTACTTACATGTTATTGCAATACATGTCACAACATGTTTTTACATGGTTGTATCCCTATATAGTAAGATATATAGGTAGATATACGGTCTAACTTAAGCTAAGCGCAACAAATTAAAACTTACTTGCGTTTTTTGCCCAACAACGATTTGAACATATTAATGAGTTCGAGATAAGCAGTGGGCGTGACATAGTTATATCTCTTCAGCCGCAAGAGAAACTGCCTTGTCAGTTCTTGCGTGTCGGTGTGGAACATTTGGCAAAGCTTGATGGCGGTCTCGCGTTCCAATTCCGTGAGCTCTACGTCTTTGAGGAAACGTTTTGCAACTGCTAACAGGGCGTCCGGTGGCCACTCCTAAAGGCGATTCAAAAACATTTATATCTTTTCATTAACGTATCAACTTCAATCTAACAGTTATGATAAATAAGACTTATAAAAAAAAGAAGTGGCGTTGATTTAATTTCTGACAGTTGGTGTTTACATTTCAGAAAAGTATTCTAAATATTTAAATGAAAAATTGCTACTTAAATGCTTACATGAAAAATTCTATCACAAAAAATAACGCTAAGACGTTTAAAAATTAGAAAAACATACATCCGTTTTAAAGACAATTCCGCTAACGTGAGTAGCAGTGGGCTGAAGAGATTAAAAAGGACCATCACCTGGAACCAATCGATGGTACAGCAATTGACGAGGGAGGGAAACTTCCTGATGCGAGTGCGCAGCGCTGTGCCAGCCGGGGACATAGCCAGGACAATGTGCAACTGGTCCCTCACGATCGATACAAAGTACGCGTAAAGCGCCGTCGGGCTGCCGTCCGTTTGTAGCGACTTGTCGCGTTGGCGGTCGATCTGGCAGTTTTTAAGCATAGGTTAAAAGCTCTCGTTTTAACGCATTCATTTATTAGCCCTTTTGGCTTTACACAAACTCTTAGGAGTGATCATAAACTACAGGCTTGATCAATAGTGTCGAATATCTTTTCGTGATATATGCAATTTGGGGTATAACAGAAGAAAAATATGAAAACTTTCTTTCCCAGCGGAACAGAAATAAATAACTTTTCCACCCATTGTACGTTCAAATACGACCCCATACTCTATTCTGCAGTTCTCCGAATCCATACCATTTCAATGCAAAAAAACAGTTGATACAGATTTGGTCAAATATCAAATACATGGTACAAAATTATATTAGCAATCTTAGATATTTCAAAGATAAAAGTTAGCTGGTACTAAAATTTTAGTATTTGCTTTACCTCTTTTATTGATATATTATTCACTTATCTGAGTATAAAATTTGTGCTCAGTATAATTCGTGAACATTAAAATTGTTGCATTTACCACTCGCATTTTCTCACAGAGCTCGGCTTTTTCGTCTGCAACGAATATGTTAGGCACTTCTCCTGAATTAAGCATGTTGTTGACATCTTCTAGAAAACCTTCTTCTTTAATCTTAAAACGAAACAATATTTTGTTTGAAATATATTAATTTACATCAGCTTAAAAAGCAAAGATATATTCTTTATAAACCAAAATATTGAATTAAACATTACTTGCATAATATAATAATTTTAATTTGTCAAGCATTATCAAATTAAATCAATTTGATGTGATTTTTATGAGATTATTTAATTCATTTTATCCCCTTAGTATTTTAATAGATTTAAAGTTCTTAACAAACCTGAGACTCGATGAACAAGAAAACCATATGTAAATCAGGAGTACTTGACTTCCTTAACAGCGTCTTTAAATCTTCACGCCATTCATTCTTCCCATAGGTTCGACTCATTTCAACCTATAACACGTATATAAGCATTTCTGTATTTAAATATTGTACTAATTTACATTAATAAAAAAATGAATAATTTCATTTGTGTCGGCACCGGGTTTTCAACTCTGGTTGTTCAAGTATGTTGAATTAAAAGCGAGCGCACGGACACTTCCCCGGGGTCCGTAGTATCTATAAATTACAACGCGTACACCTAATAATAGAGGTCCGCAAAAAACATGTCAGTTCATATTGGAAAGTTTATTCACTTGAAGTAAACTTTCGTTATATGGGGCTCGAGATCATATATCATCGTGGTCTATAGAGTGTAAATAACGCAACAGAAAGTACAACACTTTACCCTGTCCCTTAAAGAATTATTTCTTTTAGCCAAATGTTATGTTTAAACGTACCTGGAAGAGGTCGTATTCGTTGATGTGAGCGGCAAGGCGCGTGAGGGATTGTCGACCGGAGCCACCGAGCCCCACCAGTAGCGCGTGAGATCGGGGCTGGGTCAGAACGCGACAGATCCGCGACACGTGCTCTATCGCGAATCTGCAACCATAAAATGCAATGTGTAAACAAACATTCACACAAACACGCGAAATTTTAGCCGCCTGTGTAGTGCAGGATCGACTCCTGGCAGCGATGAAAAATTTTTCGACAATTTATCTACACACAAAGTTTGTTATATACATGATAAATATTTACCGGAACAACACAAGATTCATTGGCTTCTTTGACATGTTATTGAATTCAACGAGGAAGGCATCGACCGTTGTGTTGAGATGGTCCATGTTTGTTGTTTCCATATAGAAGCGCGTGTCTACTTTGGGATTTGCGAAGTCGCAGTAAATCAAGTTTCGCAAGTGAAGATCGGTGATCTAAAATTAGTGTAGTAATTAATCTTTGTTCAAAAAGAATGGGCGAAAATTTAATATTAATCTACTAAAGCGCTCACCTTTGTTCCGGAATCATCTAGCAGCCTAGAAAGCATCTTGTCGAAGTTCTCGTTCAAGTGTAATTCGGTAGACTCCCTTAAACATTGCACCAACCATTGTCTATCAGCGTCTTCAATCAGACGATCGGAAAAGACGCGGAGGCATTCGTGAATCCACAGTCGTTTAATTGATTGAAGGTCTGGTGTCACTTCTGGTACCGACAACAGTACTCCCTGACAAAAATTTTATGAAGTGAACTGGATAACCTATATTCGTACTAAGATCCTAATTGCTTACTTAAGCTTACTTAATGAATGTTTTATTTTTATCAATGATAGAAGCGAATTACATACATTGCATTTCAAAGATCTAGACAATTCTAGAGACGGCACTGAAACTTACGTACGAATATAGCTTTGAAAGTGAACAATTTATCAGCTACTCACCAGAATCACTTTGGAAAAATCTCGTAGATTAAAAGTGTAGTGGGACTTAGATGGTGTGGGTAACAAATTCAATCTACACTGCTTATATACTTCTAATGTTCCAGCTACAATCTCGTCTATGCAAGGATCAAACTCTTTTGAGAAGCCCCTGAAAGTTATTAAACGTTGTTCAAGTTGTCTCAATCGTATCATGGTTTACTCTATTACGTAATCATTCGTGGTTTACTCTAACCTTGTGTCCAGATGCCATAACATAATTCTGCTAAAAATGACTTTGAGAGTATCGTCTTCGAATTCATCGATGCATAGGAAATTGAAGTGGCGTGTAAACCTCGGCGTCACAAGTTTGGCTCCCGGCGTTGGTTTACCCATGGCACACATAAACTAGGACAAAAACGTACATTCAAATAATTACAAGCAAAAAAAGTCAGTCAACTATTCCTTGTCTTATTGTGAAATGCTAAAGTAAAGGAAAGGAAACTTCATGATATGTTAATACCTGCACATCAATAAGGTGCATGGCGTCGTTCGTCTTTCTATTATACCAAAGTCCCAAATCGATTCCCTGTCTTAACACTTCAATCGGTGGTTGAGCGCCATAGAACTCAGCTTGGGGCATGCTCACGTCGTCCACGAAAACAACGCTGTAACAACCAATTGGTGGCCCGTATACCCCTGCCAAGAAACAAATATTTAATTAATGAACCAATTCACTATCGTTGACGCCTATGAAAAAACAACGATATTTTTTTATATACAAAAATATTAAAAACCAATTGAAAAGCAATCACCTTTTCTTCTTTTGTCAAGTTTGCCCATTATAATGTCCTGCGTTTGATTACAGTTAGTCTGTGCCGAGAATGCCATGATAAGTGCTTTGTACACTTTTGTATCAACCCTTTTTACAAGGTAGTCCTAGAATGATAAAGAATATACCATATATAAATTGAATGAGCGAAAAATAACGTCAGTATGGTCTAGTGCCCACCCCAGGATTTTGGGTTACCGATTCGAAATTCTAGGATATTTATTTTTATTTTATGCGAAAAGTTGTCAAACGAGCACACGGTTCACCTGATGTTAAGTGAATACCGCCGCCCATGGACATCTGCTACACCCGCGGGTTACAGATGCGTTGACAACCTTTTGAAAATTGGGCTCCGGCTACCTCAATAACCAGACGAAACGCGAAAGTATTTGTCATACTTCCACTTTACGCCGGTCTTCCGTGAGGTCGTGGTACTTACCCGGACGGGCCTGCCCATTCGTGCAACAGCCGAGGCTGCTGCGTGGCCCTACCACCGTTGGATGGACACCTATCCTTCATCGCCAAAAGCAGATTGAAGGCGAGCGAGGCGAGCGAGGTGCAATGTAGATATTGAATTTCTCGAATTTTCTCTACTATAATATGCATATATAGGTACTACATGTAAACCTTCCACTTGAATAATATCTATTGCTGAAAATCGCATTAAAAATTCGTTGCGTTGTTTAACAGTTCTACAGTGTTCGATTTTTTTTGTAGTAAGGGCCCAGGCCCTCCCTGAAACATACGCCGATGACGGCCACTCTTAAATTTTATGCATTTGTAAAACACTTGGATAGACCTTAAATAGAAACGCAATTTAATTTTACATCACTTAAAAGACGAATCGCCAAAGAATAGTGCTTCCACGTTACACGAGTCATCGTTGAGAACGTGTTACCTACTTCCCCGGACGAGCTTGTCCATTAGTACACGCTTCTGTCAAATTATCTTAGCTTAGTTACTTTAAGTGACAAATTCATATAATATGATGATTCATATGATCTAAAAAAAACGTTTAAAGTTAACTTGATATTTTTTATTTTTATTTTGATATTAACTCACGATAATGTATGAAGACTTTCCAGTGCCCGTGGGTCCAACCATCATCACCGGCTTGTGATGTGTGACTAGAAGTTTGAAAAGCGCTAAATATCGTACACTGTCGAGTGTAGTGACCAAGATCTGGTTTGGTGGCGTGTCGCGGCTTATTGGCGGAGCGGCTGTCACGTCGTCTTGAAACTGCTTCCATTTTCCTTTACCCTTAATGTAATAAAGACAAAAATGGCTTTTTACAAATATGTGAACCTAGCTGCTACCCGCGACTACGTCTGCGTAGAATGGGCTGAAAGCGTAATATTCAGACAGAAAGACAAATATACATAAAATATGTATATAAATTATAGCCTATGTCTTATTCTGATATATAAGCTATATTATTGTAAAGTTTCATTAAAATCCATTCAGCAGTATTTACGTGAAAGAGTAACAAACATCCATCCATACATACAAACTTTCGCATCTATACAGATAAATAAAATTGGAGTGTCTGTTTGTAATATTAAAATAATCGCTTTTTACTAAATGCATATGGATGTATACACGATACATATACCAAAATAATTTTTTTTACAATTTTTGTCTGTTTGTCTGTCTGTTTGTTCAGGCTAATCTAATTTGAAACGGCTTGACCGATTTGGACGGGACTTTCACTGGCAGATAGGTGATGTAATTAGGAGTAACTTAGGCTACTTTTATTTTACATGTTTTTTTATTTAAAATTCCACGCGAACGAAGTCGCGTGCACAACTAGTTTATAATATTAGTAAGGAAGTAAGGATAATAAGGATGTGTTAATTTCAAATTTCAGAATAATAAGGAAGAAATTTTATGCAAACTTATTCGGCCGATAAAAATGTATGTAGCATATTGTAAAGATATCGCCGAATTTTAAATAAAAAATAAATAACGCGGTCTTTAATAGGAACACGGTTATATAGGTTGTTATTATACTTTAATTAAATGATAAAGTCTAAATGTTCAGTAGAATATCGTATCTTTACCTCTTTAATAAACCTATAATCGTATACTAATCCATCCTTCGGAATAGTAAATATGTACTGCTTTTCTGGTTTGGCTATTTGTCGAGGATATCCTAGAGCCTGAATAACCTGCAAATAGATAAATAGTGCTTAAGCCACAGTAAAAAAATATTTGTGCAGAAAAACTTGTGAACGGTGTTTATTACGGATTTATTATTGTATTTAATTTTATAAATATATAAATGCTGCTGGACTAACCTTGTCTGGGAATTCTTTTTCTAATAATCCCCGAAACATCATGTCAAATTTTAATCTACTATCGCCATCCAAGGTAGCTCCGATAGACCATATACAAGAGAAAAAGAACACCCCCTAAATGAGATGAAATGATTAGCGCTGTTTTTATCCTTTTGAAAAAAGTTGTAAATGAGTTTTTAACACTTCAATATACTTACTTCTAGTTGAGCTCTCACATCCAGGTCCGAAAGCTGTTCAACGCACTTTTCATCATAAAAATCGTCCATAAATGTGTCAAATAGGTTCATACACCCTTTGACGAGGTTAGTACGTGAGGTGATATACATTTGCTAAAAAATGTAAGAGCAATATTAGATATAGTCCATAAGAAGCGTCACGTTACACGTGTAAGTCACAATATTGGTTGCATATAATATTTTACCTTAGCATGACTGGAGTATTCAATGAGCCATAACAAAGGAGACATAAATCGATTGAAAAGATTACGAATGAGGTTGCGGTTGACACTATGCAAGGCTGGCGGAAGTGTGTTAAGCCAGGACTCCATAAGACACTTCCAACCCAGTCCTTTTGGCTCCATGTATATCATTCCACAACGTGACACCTATTATACAAGAAAAATTTCAAATGCTTTTTGTTTCATATTTCTTTTACTAACTAAATCACATCTACGTTTTTTTTTATCTTTTTTTAAAAATGTTCGTTTTAATTGTCTTCTAAACATAAACATTATCTATACTTTTAACAAAATATAATACAGCAAACAACGAAACCAATAAATTCATCATGGATTAAGTAAACACAGGTGTTTACTGAGTCACGAAAGGTGACGGTGATTTATTATTTTAGTTCAGTATAGTAATCATGAATCGGACCGCAATCGCTTCTCAAACTACCATGGCCATTTGCTCTGCTCTGCTCTAAAAATGTCCATAAAATTCAGAGTTTTTATATGTCCTTATTGATAAGCCAGATGCCCTATACTAAGAATCAATATATGTCAGTTTCATTCTTTCACAATGACATATTCAGCCGTTAGGCATCTACTCATCATCATCATCATCATAATTATTTCAGCCTATTTGAATCCCACGCTCTTGAGCCTGCATCCATCGACTTCCCACACCCTTCCGCAAGTCATCACTCCATCTAGTGGGGAGTCGTACTACACTATGATGTCCACTACGAAGCTGCCAATCGACAACCTCTCTTACTCCTTAAGACATTCAAAATATTACTAAATCATTTTACCGTCGCAGGTGATGCCGCTTCAAGGTCCATGGGCTCGAAAATAAGATTAGTCGTGGGTGCAAGCTGAATTATCTCGCCGCTCATCAGGCACAACTTCTTGTTGTCATCCAACACTGTATTGAGGTTCTCGATCCATATTGCGTCCACAGGGCCATCGAAGACCAACCATTTCCTACGTTACTAAATGCAGTTAAAAACCTTGTTCGAAACAACTAACTAAGCAATAACTGTTACATAGATTTAAGATCCACGACCTCACAAATACTTAGCGCTATATAGAGGAAAAACTTATACCTTTGCCCTTTCATTGGTGAGTCAGGTAACCGAGGCTCACTCTCTTAAAGTTAAGCAACGCAATGGCAACAGGTGTCCTGGATGTCATTGGGTGGTAGTAAACACTTAACATCAAGTGCCAAAAGTAAAAAAAGTACCAAATGAGCAGGTGGTTGCTAATTTGGAACTTATTCCGTTAATTTTTTAACGGAAAATTTTTATGTCATTCACATCATTAATTTAGAACCAAACGAAACGATAATTCTTTGCCAAAGCTTTAAAAACTACTCAAATATACAATTTTTTTGCGTATGTGACAGAGTTTCATACCGATTATCATTGGGAGAAACGGCAAAAGCTCTGTAGCTGACAGCAAGGATGCCATCAGACCATTCGTGGGAGACTGGATCGAACTGGCCGTATAATTGTCCCATTGTTATAGATTTAGGATTTATTACAGTCCATTCCACGGCGTGTTCATCCATCAGCCCCTAGCACGAAGCAACAAACAGAATGAAATTATAGGAAACATCTACAAATCAAAAAGACGTCATAAGGATAGATTTAATTAATTATACCTTTTGCGAAACTAGTCCAAGCGAGTGTCCCAAGGCATGGTAACATTTAGTTTTACCAGCGAACGGATAACCAACCAGCATGAGGCCATGCCGAACGAGTATCATTTCATACAACTGTAACACCTGGGATAAAAAATAAAAATATTCCGTATCAAATATTTATTGAAGTCTACTTAATCTTATGCACACGCTGCTGTAAAGTTGAGTAATGCTTAAAGTAGTGTTTATTTTGAAATTAATAATAACAAATTATTTATTTTAGAGTTTAAAATTTTAACAATTACTTTAGACACCATAGTTTTTACCTTTTCTATGAAAAATTCATTCGCTTGCAAGTTTATTTTCACGCATACTTCTTTTAGACACTCAACAAGGTGCGGTAAACCGGGCTGAGGCAGCGGTAAACCAGGAAACAAATCACCAATTATACCCTGGAATCGGCAAAAATAATAAAATCATTCCCGAAAATTCAAAGATGTAAAATGCATGTATCTGACTGAATATATTTGGAGATTTTGAAATTCGTTCTATTCTTTAGCATCTAAATAGTAGCTAACATTAATTTTATGCTTTCCACCGCCACGCTATTTAATGAAAAATTAAACTACAGTGACATTTGTTAGTACTAGTAGTTATATAAGTGGAGTTACTTATGCATCATCTTTTTATTGTGCAGGCAGTGAACGAAACATCACTTACCTAGAGTTTTGTTAAGAAAGAGGCTATATTGAATAAAAATCATTTCAATGAAACAAAACTATTGTAAAAGAATTGGTATTCAACGTCGGGAAATATCTGTAACAAAGTTTGAATTTTGTTTCTAATAAACTTAAGTTAAAAAGGACAACGGACCATGAAAAGAGGCACGTCGTGTTCCAGAAACTTGGGAAGGTTGACATCTTTAATAGAACGAAGCAATATGACGTCCTCGTCTTCGTCAGGGTAACGCAATTTCAGTGCACCGGCAGCGCGCAGTACTGATTTCACAGCTCGCATACCTTGGAGAAATATTGAAATAAACATTAAAGTATCAAATAGGACTGTCATTGCTTGAAAATGTGTGCAGTCCTCAATAAAAAGTAAATTGACACTTTTAGCAGCTATCTTCATGAAGACTTAAGCGAATATAAGAGTTTGCATCCTTTTAGCGCTGTGTTGACTTCCAACGGTGGTGATCATCGTAGTGTAAACAAATAAGTTTGTCCGCACAACGGTCCCCTTGCAAAAACGTCATTGCTGGCGTAAGTAGCATCGCTCTTCCACGACCGTTCGTAGAGACTAGTAAAGACTTAAGTTTCTGCTTTATTTCATTGTTTAAATATCAGTAACAATCGTCCCTTTTTCAAAACGCATAATTTGTAATACAAAACTTTACAAAAAATCTTCGTTATTAAAATCTTTATTTTTAATATTTTGACAGTTACCGTAATCATAATGACTCTGGGATGATAACTGCTCCGAGCACAGTTTGTACGTGGCAACAATTTTCACGGCCAGTGGTTTCGCGTTCAAATATCCGAAGGCGTACAATTCTATCTCAGAAATCAATACGTAGTCTGGTACCATCATTGCTACGGAGCGGAACAAAGCCTGAAAGATTTTTTTGAATTGGATGTTATCAGCTTTTAATATTCGACTGACGATAAAATATTCATGAATTAAATAACTATCGATGATTTTTATTATGTCTTTTTATCATACTCGAAAAATTTACCTTCAAATTGTCAGGCAGTTCAGATCTTCCCGCGTAGCCAGGATTCATCGTGATGAATACGGCACACGACTTGTCAAGGTGCAAAAGCGTGCCCTCAAACATGAGTTCCGTGGCGCCAGAGTTGATGCCGCGTTGAATGGACAGTATCTGCTGCGCCACCACAGACAACACTTCTAGATCGATACGGTTGAACTCGTCGAAACAGGACCAAGCGCCGCAAGATGCAAGACCCTTTACCAAACGTACTGACATTAGAAAAGTCAAATCTGGATTTATTTACGACGAATTATTTATTTACAATGAATGAAATCAAAGATTAAAAAAGGGGTGAAAAAACCCTTTCATTGATTTAAATCCGTGCAAAGGAATAAAAATGCTCTTTCGCTTGATAAACATAAATAACTCCTACATACTTTTAATTTCATAAAAGGAAAAAAATATTTTAATTCCAAAAACAACCACATGATAATATTTACAATGGATCATATATCAAACACTGTAGAATACGGTTTTCTAAGAAAATTCTAGTATAAAGATAAATTGAGATTAAAGACAGACCTATAACAAATTATATTTTACATTAGAGTTTCGCAGATCAACCTTAAAGAATTTTCCTAGGGCGATGTAGTCGAGACCATCGGAACAATTAAACACGACGCACTGTTTCGCTACTGCCTTGGCCAAGTCTTTCGTTGTTTCCGTTTTGCCGGTGCCGGCAGGACCTTCAGGTGCTCCACCTGTTCCGAAATTTATACATTAAGTTAATAATGTTACGACTACGCGATTTTAATTTTTATAATGTATTTTCAATTACAGCGATGACTACTTTTCTATGCACATATCAATAAATGTTTCCCGCTAGAGCCATTAATCAAGATACCTTTTGTAACCCCATTTGAGAAATTCCAAGTGGTATCGTACGACGATCTCAGGTAAAGTAAAATATTTCTGATGGCGACGAATTCGCTTGCTTTGTTTTACATGTGTATGTGATTTGGTTAGGTGTGCAAGAACGTGCTCAATATCGTGGGAGGATGACTGCTCTCCAATTTCCGCCGTTCCACGAGACTTGTTGCCAGCGGATTACATTTCGGATAATCTTACCCTTGAATAGTTCATTCAATGTAATGATCTTACCCAAATTCAAATGCAGTGCTCCAAACAATGTTCTGAAGCAACGGTCAGTGAGTGGTGTGACGACTAAGCGTCCGGTGTTACCGAGATACTCGTAGCCGTACATCAACTGAGAGTTTATCATTCGCGTCACAATCTGCATTCCGGTCTCCTCTTGTTCCTGGAAAAAAATTAACTGAATTAATGGTTTTCATTTTTAAAGGAAGTTTTGGATAACAATCATGTGCTTCAATCATCAAACTCGTTATATCAACTACATATACCGTTATAAGGCTGCAATTAACATTAAAACAATTATTAAAAATAATTAATAATAATACATAAATTAATTATAAAAAATTAAATACTTGCAGATTTGTCCATAATTTTATCTTCAATTAAAATCTAGCACGTGACATATGTTTGTAGGATATGAGAATAGAGCTTTTACTAAAATATAAAAACTGTCACACCTTGTAAGGTAATTTTACCTTAGTGTATCGCACTCTAGAGTGCGATACACTAAGGTAATATTCATTTACCTCCCAATAATATCGTATTTGCGACAGCCAGTTGAAATCATTGTCTTGCTGCACTTTTAACTCAATTAGCAACATAAGAACATCTCTTGCGTGTACATCGAGTACAACTAAAGCTCCTGAAATAGCATAAAGCAATTATAAGAATTGTTTATGAATTAATCCTACTCGTTATTTAAAAAAAAAAAAAAACATACAATAAACGAAGCTAATGGATTTAGGCTCTTGTTTTTACCATAAATGGATTATCGACTTCATCAAAATTAACCTAACTTAAATTAGTTTCACGACAGTAGATCAATTTTATGAAATAGAAAATTCATTGTTTGTATTTACGAGCCGTGATAGCTCAGAAACTTTTTTCCATCGCCTCAAATTTTTTCGTCCATCTATCGCATGTCGTATTAGTGACCGCGGAGTAGGGGTAATGTGATAATGCTCAGATCAAGATAGGTGGGATTTAGAATCAAATTATAGCCTATAATCTAATCATTTTTTAAAACACAAATTCTATTACAAAGGTCTACTTACCTAACGTGATTCGATTTTGCAAACTAAGTTCGCCCCGCACCAGATCTACAATCTTTGATATTTGGTAGTTACATTTGTCCCAATAAGCTTTCATGGCGGAAATACTTTTATGTATTGCCTCCGTTACTTCTGATGTCCAAAAGGTCATCGCTATACATTGTACCTTAATAAAATAAGTATATCAATAAGAGGTTTCACTACACACAAGAACACAAGTAGTCAAAGGAATTATGAACTACGTTTGCAAAAATTGATTTTACAGGTTATTCAAATTTAAGTTTATTATATTTATCATCCTAAAGAAAGGCAGATGGATATTTACAAACTATTGACAATAATAACCTGTGACAAGAAATTACTAATTCATGAGATGGCGTAAGATTTTAAAATCCATTAGGTTTCTCAATCTGTGAGTAATTTACTATATTAAAAATACTAAAATATTGACTATGATGACATTAACAATTATCACACTAAAAGATATCTCGTACATTATTATGTAATTGTAAACAGAAACGAATCTAGAGGAAAATCTCCAAAGTCATACCGTTTGTCCAGGCCATATTAGCACCCAATCTTCCCTCGGTCGCTGCGTATAATCATCGTAAGAAATATGCACTTCGTGATGCACTGAAGCCTTCATTGCTACTTCTAATTCCAGAAGCCACTTTTCTACCTGTCGAAGCATATAAAGTTAAAGAATTTCTTACAGATGCTGAGGTTAAAATTACCAAACATTTGTTTCTATAAAAATACCAATTTCGCGGTGTTCTCTTCTTTTCTTTTCCTTTTGGGTTCGACACAACATGTAACGTAGTAGGTTGTGTTGACAATGTGTAAATGTGGTAGGGCCATGCAGCAGTGTTTACTGTTGCAAGGTCCGTTCGGATAAGTACCACAACTTCACAGAAGACCGGCGTGAAGAAGAAGTGTTACACTTCTGTGTTTCGTCTAATGAGTGAGGTAGCCGTGGAACACTTTATTTAAAGGTTCTATGGCATCGCATTTGCAACACCCGTAGGGTTGCAAATGTCCATGAGCGGAGTTTATCACTTAACATCAGGGAACCGCGCCAGCTCGTTTGCCCAATTATAGTGTAATTTATATCTTACTTGTCCTCTAGCGGCAGCGGTGTTTATTGTTATCGTCAACTTTACGATCTCCCCTTCTGAAGACCTCATGTGTGTCACAACCATTTCTTCAGTGAATGTCAGCTTCGCAATACCTTCGAAACATTTCTTCAGATGAGGCTGTACACTGAAATTACATTGAATATTTGGTATTAGCCGTCAAGCACTATAAAGTTTATAATAACGATCAATTTAGTCAGTTCAATATGCAGATCACAGTTCGAGAAAATTATAAATTGCCTACATTATAAAAAAGAGCCTTCGTCTTTTTATTTGCATGAAATAAATACGATAGACAAAATTTTAGAGAAAAATCTTTCGGTACCGTAAAGGATCTTTAGTTTCGGATAGAATTTCCAGCAATTCGTCATTGGACAAAAAGAAAAATCGGGGGAAGAACAGACGCTTCTTCTCTAGATAGGCATTCAAGCCCCTTTGCACCATTTCCAGTAAATTGTTCGACTTGCGCAGTCTATCTAACATCTTCTCAATTGTTATCACGTCCAATACCCGGGGCTCAGCAGATGCAGCCTTCATTATTTCACGCCACATCTGAAATTTTTGAAGCAAAATTAATATTGGTAATAATACAACAATAGAATATGCTGAAATGCAAAGCAACCGTACTTACCTTGTCTACAGCGCTGAAGCGGCGACCTTCTTCAGGTATTTGTTGTTGGATATCAGGTGACGAAAAAATGGGCTCAAGGTACATCCACGTTGCTTGAACTTTAAGCCACTCGTCGAGAATTTCCTGGAGTAGTATCAGTTTGGCTTCCCAGTCACTGTCAATAATAAATAATAATTCAATATTAGAAATAATTAGGGAAAAGCCGAATATATTTTAAAAAAATCTATTGGTCAGTTCTCGTAGGACCACGCAGCAGCCTCGGCTTTTGCACGAATGGGCAGACTCGTCTGGGTAAGTACCACGACCTCACAGAAGGCCGGTGTAAAGTGGAAGAATAATGCTTTCCCGTTTCGTCTGGTGAGTGAGGTGACCGGAGCCCAATTTTCAAAAGGTTGTCAACCCATCTGGAACTCTCGGGTGTAGCAGATGTCCATGGGCGGCGGTGTTCACTTAACATCAGGTGAACCGTCTGCTCGCTTGTCAACTTTTCACATAAGAAAAACACAACTTTTAGTGTTAGTAACTGAATACTAATTATTAATTATACATGCTCCCGTATCCCCAAGCCCGGTATACAAAATTAATTAAATTACCATCTCTTATCTTTTTAAAATTGAAGAAGACTAATGTAACTACTTACTGAATAGTGTCTTCGAATGGTTTTATGTATGGTGAATTCTTCATAGTTTGCGTTTTAACGATGTGATCGTCCAACAGCAATTGGATTTCATCAACACTCGACAATATGTACGTTCCTGTGTCTCTAAAATTTAAGTCAGAAAATTTTAATATAAGAAAACTAGCTAAAACGTCTTTATTAAAATATATACTTAACAAAACTGTTTTCTGTCTTTTCGTGTCACTAAGAAACACGAGAAAATCCGTAAAAATCATCAAATTTTGTTCAAAAAAGAAGAAAGTCATCAAATGTACTAACTTATATGATAATATATCAAATTTAAGATCTGCCCATTCCTTCATCATTTTATCAAGGGCTTTCTCGAGGTTATTTTCTTTTGTCGCAGCCTCCGATATGCTCTCAAACTTCTCAATATAATCATCTAAATTGAAATCAATTACTTTCTCCAATGATAATTCCTCATCGACCACAATGGGGAAGCCAACAATTTCGGACACTTTCTCCCAATGGCGTGGTTTCATACCAGGGTTGCCTAAGGTTTGAATGATTGGCATATGTGTTTTGAACTCATCCATCTTTTGCCTACAAAATAAAATGTTATAATTTTTTTTAAGTAAAAAATATTTAATAAAACGTGAACTTTCAATCACCTGACTGAACAAGCAAGTCTGTAAGTATCAGGAACTTCTTGAAACGATTTTTCCAATTTATATACATTTTTGTAATAATAACTTACATCACCTTCTATGTCTTCAGGATCGTAACTGCCAACCTATGGGCAAAATGGGTAATTAATAATGAATATTAAAACATGTAGAAAAAGTACGAAAAGATTGTCGTCGCTGTGAGAATCGAACCCACGTCTTCGGCATTCGCGGCCTGACGCTCTAGCCACTGAGCTAAACGGCTGATAGCCACAGCGACGAAAACCTTAACGCCTTCTTTCTACATTGTTATTTAGCATTTGAAGCAATGCTTGGCGCATCTATTGTTATATCCTTTCCAGCATACAAACAATTTCGAATATCGTTTTACAACGATAATTCGAACGAGAGATGTCGCCATTGCTTTTTATAAATTTTAAAGTCTCTTATAGTGCTAATGTTTGCACTTAAGATTGAACATTATAACACTTTAAAATTGTACAAACGCTATAAAAAACTTTAAAATTGATTATAGAACAAAAAAAATCGCAACATTTTGAATACAGCTAAAATAGTGCATATTATAAAGTTGCAATTATATTCATACATACCCTTGACTTCATCCAGTTGTGATATTTTTCGAGAAAATCAAAGCCGGCATCATACAGCTTTTTAAAAGGTACAAGTCGATCATATACATGTTTTCTTTTTGGATATTGGGACAGTTCCCAGCCGAAGGAAGCCTCTTCCTCGTTAAATTGATCAATCTTCACTAAAGCGTTAGATAGTCTGCAAATGAAAAATTTGTTATTACCTATGGTTCAGTTACTCAATGTGATAAAAAGCCTTTTTATGCACATGAAAACGTAGCCAAGTATTATATCTTCTATAATATATATATATTAAGTATATATACATATAACTATATTACTTTTCATCAAGATGACGAGCACGTGTGACGTATTTAGAGAGTTCGTTAATGTCACCCCAATATTGAAGCTCGTTGCATTGCAATTCATACATGTCCAAGTCTTCGATAAATTTAGCGATTCGAACCTGTAAAACAATTTTGTTACGTATCAACCAAAGCAATTACTTCAGTACTAATTACTGAAAGAATTAGTACTAAAGTAATTGCAAAATTATTTATATAAAATAAAAACAGATTACACTACGGCGAGTTTTAAAAAGGTACCTTCAAGAGTTCCTGGTATTCAATTTTCTTCTGATCACAAATCAATTTGCATTCCTCTATGACTCCAGGCATACGGGCGTACCTGAATTAAATTGTATCATCTTATTTTTTTATTTTTAGTTTACAAAAAAATTTGTATAAAAATCGATTTTGCTTGTCGTTAATTATTTATAATTATAATATTTGTTCATAGTATGTAAATAATGTACCTGTAAATAATATAATAAACACGTACCAATGGAATGTTTGATTGTTCGCCTTCATCTCGAGCGGTGTGAAGCTGGTGTAGTCACCGAGGAAAATTATGTATTGCATTACATTGCGAAGCTTTTCCTCCATCTCATCGAGAGTAGTCTCCTCGACCTTCTTGCAGTACGCGATCAAATCCATCAAGGCGGCAGTATCGCCCGGCGGTGTCAGTAGTTTGTTCGCTATGGACGCGTACTCGTCGAAGATCCTGTTTAAATTATTTCGCTTATCGTCTACACTTAGAGAAAAAGTATCAAACGATGAAGCAGTAGACCTGACGTTACATGATAACCGCGGCCCATGATGCCCATATTTTTCTTGATCCCCAGATGTGATAAATATTTGAGTTTTCTATATATTGTTGTTCCTAATCTGTGTTATCTTTGTTCCGGGATAAAATAAATACTTAGAGTTCATTTTACTAGACTAGTTGTAAACATATCAAAAATATACATTAGTAATTTATAGTGAAACGTACATTTTCACCATGTTCTGATAGTCCTCAGTCATTTTTCTAAGCAGCATATTTGCAAGCCTGGTTGCTGCCCCACGCAAAGTGTTTATCAAATCGTTCCTCTGCATCCTGAACATTCCTATTACTATTGTCCCTTCAAGTGTTGAAGGTATAACCCGTGCCAACTCCACATATTTAACTGATTCCTCACAGAATTCTTCAAAAGTCTTTTCCGGAATTGCATTGATGAAATCTTCCACTTGTGAAAGAGACTAAAAAGAAAAATGTTAATCATTGACACTTGGAAAATAAATGTAAAAGAATTGCCTTCAATAATTTCTATATGATATATAATATATATAATATATACAATATATAGAAATACTTTTTTTTAGTAAATAACAATAAAACCATGCCCTTACTTAAGGATAACATTATCCTATGTTGTAAGGACGTTTTACAAACATAAATTTCACGTGGATAAATACCCATTTGCGAAACAACTATCTGCGGGTCACACAAATAGTTGTTCCGTGTTGGAATTGAGCCCACGACCCCCATTGCCGAAGTCAATACCTTTTCAACTGCGCCACTTAAAAAATCATATTTATTAATATTCATAATTTTCATTTCTTTTAATAGCATTGATTTCATTTCTTTTTTTAGTAAGACCGAAGAAACGGTATCGTTTTCTGGAGCTCTGTGAGTTTTTTTTTTCATGTTTTATTTTAAATACCAATGCGATGGTTAAAATTTTTTCTATTTTCTCAAAAGGTCGGGCCTTAATTACCTCTCCGTTAAGCAAGCAAACGTAGTCATCAAAATCTTGAACTCGCAATTCTGGACCAATTCTCTGCTCATTAATTAAACCGATAATGCTTTTCTTGTAGCCTTCGATCAATTCTTCGTCAATTATTGGCTATAATAGAGAAATCGTTGAAGAGCAGAAATGTTCACAGAATGAAATTATATATGTATTGGAGTACCTAAGATTGTACCTTCTGTACATAAGATTGAAAAGCATTAGATCCATTAATTACCTTAAGAGTGGTACGAGCTGTAACATCAAAGTCCTGATAAAGCATAGTTTCCAAGCGTGGCGTCTGCCTACACGCGTCAATCAAAAAATCATATAAAAGACAGAGTTGGTCCCCGAAACTTTTAAAGCTTGGTTCGAATTCAATTGCGTCGCTTTGAAATGTTAAATTTATCACAAAACCTTGGTTCATACCCTGAAATATTTATAAAAAATTGTATAGGTAATTGAAAAAAAAAACAGTCAAGAGCAAGACACTTTTCTTAATTTACCCCAACATCCATAATGTAATCTGTATATTCTTTCATGGACTTCAGACACAACGTCTGCAAATTATAGGTCATAATGCAGGCCAGACAATTATAAAAACGTTTCATCTTCGACACTTGCCTTGGGTCCGGTATTTGCTTCTTTTTGCTTCCCTAGAATTTAGTTTAAAAAATCACAAGTTTAAACTTACAACGAATGTAATAGAGATATCTAAGAGAATTTAGCTAGAACAGAGCTTGATTGAAAGTGGATAGTACTTTCCACCAAGCCAATTCTAGCAGTTCCTTATCGTTCACCAGTAGTAGTTTTACTATTTTTAAGAGCTGCTTTAAATATTGTATGGCACAACTACCGTAGTCGGTTATAGCAGCCGTAGCTGATTAGCGGCAGATTCAAGTTATGGTTCTATTAGATATAAGTAGAAAAGGTCCCGGAAACGGCTGAAACGAAATTTGTAAGGGAACGTGATTACGCAAGACACGCGTGACTACGTGTTCGATCCTTTCTACTGAACTCCAATACTGCCGTGACATAAAAACACTTATACATACTTTTAGACAATGCTGATATCAAACGAATTTCAACATAAGAATTGAGTCTACAACTGAGCATTGCGTCACACCTGGAGGAACACGGCCTGTATTGTCGGCACCCATTGGAGCGTGAGAACATTGCCAGCGGCATCGATGTGCCTCTTGCATACAAAATTGAAGTCCTGCAATTCGTAAGCCTCGTGTGTCATCATTATGTCCTTCATGCTGATTAAGCGAAGCTCGCTGAAATGATATCGTTAATTTATATTAAATACAATTATCTTCGCAATGGGCGAACGTAACTTACTAAAGTAGCAATCTCGGTGATCTTTTGCTACTATATCTTTAAGTATATAGCCAAATCTTAAAATGTGTACATAAATTGCCGATTTTTTTTTATAGAAATTAAATTTCTATAACAGAAAGCGACATGTCTCTACTTTTCAAATATTCGTTGAAAAATTGTCATTTGAGAAATTAGAACTAGATGGCGCCACGTATTGCGCAAAAAGCAAAAAAAAAAAAACCCAAGTGCGAGTCGGACTTGCACACGAAGGGTTCCGTACCAGATAATGGTACGGAAACGGCAAAAAAAGCATGTCTGTTGTATCTTATATTTTTTTTCCGTATAGCGTATATATTTTTTAGTGTATAGCGGCAACAGAAATACATTATCTGTGAAAATTTCAACTGCCTAATGATCAGCGTTCATGAGATACAGCTTGATGACAGAGTGACAGACAGACAGACAGCTGAATCTTAGTAATAGGGTCCTGTCTTACCCTTTGGGTACGGAACCCTAATAAAAACAATAAAGTAGACAAGACGTGTGACGTATGATGGCCCTACTGTGGTAAGGCCACGGGATCGTCTCCGCTGTCACACTGATGGGCAAGTCTGTCCGGGAAAGTACCACGACCTCACAGAAGAACGACGCGAAGTGTTAAACTTTCGCGTTTCGTCTGGTGAGTGAGGTAACCGGGGCCCACTTTTTTAAAGGCTGTCAACACATCTGCAAGCCATCGGATGTGTCCGATGTCCACGGATGGCGGTATTCACTTAACATCATGTAAACCGCCTGCTCGCTTGACAACTTTTCACATAAAACAGTCAAGATTTTCACACTTAGCGCGTGGACACATAACCTGGAAGACGAAGATTCGAATCCAGGCAGAATTTTTCGAAACAATTCAAGGGCGGAGACCAGCACTAAAATAAAAATGAAATAGCTAAAGCTTAATTAAATAGTGATACGTGTGAAACAAATTTCGTGCATTATACGTATTTCTTTTTACAATGTGCTAAAACTTTGACAGCCTCACGGAGATGTCTTTAGGTTATGAATACTTACTTAAATTGTTTCCACCATATTTGTAAAACTTGTGCAATGCACGGATTGACGCTGTGTAGATTTCTCGTCATATAGTTTTTGGCGACGGCGTATCTATTCCTCCATGCATCATCTTTCACGGCCAATTCTTGTTTCAAGGGAGTATCCTCCTCTTCGAGTGACTCTTCCTTAAAAGTAAACGAAATACTTTAATTAGATTACAAGAAGAGAAAGCTCATTTTCCTAACTTAGCTGTAATCGTGACGAACAAAAAAGAAAGCCCTCTAATGTTCAGTAGTCTAGTGATAAAAGTAAGGAATTAACATCTTGTCATTCCACAAACCACAAAGTCTACTTACAATATTTGGCATATTTTTAACCACCCAATGCATCGATAAAAATATCTTGCGACAGCAGTGTAATGGCAGTTTGCAATACTAGCCTAAATATAAATGCAATATTTCACTTAGACTTGGGTACAAATTCAAATGGGTTCATAAACTAAGCCGGAAAAATGGTACCGTAGCTTCTTTGAGTAGTTTGACCTTAATTATAGAGCTATACTTACTGGTCGATGTGTCTTTAAAAACGCGATGTGTGCGAAACGATAACCCTTCTCAGAATAATTGTAAATAAATAATGGTGGTGGTTAAATGCGAGGAAAAAACTGACAATAATCATAGTAACTAACATTAACACGTTAGTTACTATCATTACTAAGAAATTATTCATCCGTTCTTTTAGAATGGTAAATCTTAAGTAACTCTGTAAAAACTTAATAAATAGGTACTTACTGTGTTTGGATCTTTCAAGACAAAGTCGACAATCGCTTTCTTCATGCTCATCATGAAGTCTTCTCGCATTTCATCAGTGCATGTGAATAAAGTATCTTTCCACTTTTTAAGTTTCAAAGGAACTAGACTATGCACACTGTGAAAAATAAATATTATAACATACTGCTCAATTCGAAGCCGATTATAGATTATTAATTTAAGTATTTGAAATTACGTGCTGAGGTAGGAAATTTATTTTTAAGAACTCTCACCGCAATATTATCTTATTATCCAAAGGCGCAACATGGATTGTATCAATGCCATAACGAATGTAGTAATAATAACGGAGCATATTCTTCTCATCTCCGGAAGGAATAACATCCATGTCCTCCCCTGGGGCGGACTGACAGATCAGTTTCATCAATTTCGCTCGAAATTCTTCACGTGCCTTCCTCATAGCTGTGAAACTTTGCATGACTGTAAAGAGAGACATAATCTAATTTTATCTTATCCTTTAAACGAGGAATTCTTGTATATATATATATAATTGCAATCTCGGAAACGGCTCCAGCGATTTTCATGAAATTTAGTATGTGCGTAGATTCGGGGGCGAAAAATCGATCTAGCTAGATGTCATTTTTAGAAAATGTCCTTTTATCCTTGTTTTCAGGGAATGAAAAATATCATTCGAATATGACGGTAAATTTCGCTGCAAAAAAAAATGTTATAATAGCTCGGTCGGTAATCGGGCGGCCCCAAAACAGACGGCCGCGGTTCTTATCACGATCATTTACACACTTATTTTTTTTACTTTTTTTTCGATTCCAGATCATTGCTTTATTTATCTTTTAATTTTTGTCGATTTGTTATTTTGTTATTTTTTCCCTTTTTTTTTAAAGTTCTTTCTTTTGTGAAAAACACCAGTTCATATTTCTTATTATTGCGTCGGTAAGATCGAAAAATATGCATATTTCGTTACTCAGTAATTTGTATCTAAATGTAATTTCCAAAATACACGATTTGCCAAAAAAAAAAAACAAACCGAGCAAAGCTCGGTCCTCCAGGTACTTAAAATTAAAAGAAATCCTTCCAGTTCTTACAAAGAGACAAAAACACAAAAACATTCTCCCTCTATTTATAAAAGTAGAATGTAAAAAGCATAATAAATTATGAAACTTTTTATTTCGAAAATTAATTGTTTTCGGGTATTGAATATTTACCTTAATCTTGTGTAAATGAGTAATTTGTTTTCGCATTCGGCGTAAATATATCTCGTTTCGCGGAAATATATTTCTCCCAGACCCACTTCGCAATTTATTGTGTATTGGCTTCATTATTTATCACCATGTTCTTATTACAGTATGAATAAAATGTTCTTATATCGTGTATATAATGTGTTAGTTTGTTGTTATAGCGCCACGCTGCTGCTTGCTGACTAGTCCAGAGAATTACCACAGCCTCATAGCTCACAGACGACCGGCGTCAATTAAAATTATTTATACTTTTGATTTTTCTGGTGAGTAGCGTACCCACTCTTTAAGCGGTTTGTAAATACAACCTTGTTATGAATTTTCATGGGCGACAGTTAACATCAAGCGAACCGCCTACTTCATTGACACCCCCTTCCATTAAAGAAATGTCAATGTCTCATGCATACAAACTATTCCTACTTCAATCCCTAGCCCTGCATCTTATGACTTTTGACGAAAATAAAAAAGAAGGATTATATTAATTTTATTGATATTATATTTGTTGTCGCTGGCAATATTGTATACCGGATATGACGTTATCTACTTGAGCTAAGGGACACATGGTCGCATAGAACACTTGCTTTTCGGCTGCATCCCCAGACGGTGATATAACCAATAGTGCTGCTTGTCGTTATAATAGTTGTTAATATTAAAGCTCAGAAATAGTTAAAATATTAGAGTCAAAGTAATAACGTCCGAACTCTTATATCAGAAGTGGTATACACAAACTTACGTGTCTTAGTACACCTGATATGAAGCGTTTTTGATTGTTTAAATGGTCGGCGACATATTTATTTCTTTGAGTACCTACCCTCGTGAAACAAAACTATGTTTTTATTCCATACGTAATGGTGATAGAATCTTTTGGTTAAGTGTAACGACAGTTTTGGTGAGCACGTTCTAGTTAATTTATTACTGAACATATTTGGGAAATGTAAAATATTTGTATTAAGAAGAATACTATAATAAGGACCGAAGGTTTTGTACATTAACTAATTGTATAGTGCAAGTCTTCATGGTGATAGATATCCATTGTGAACACCATCACTGGTAGTTAGACGGTTTTCCCCGGTTAAGATACCGAGCATTTAAGTAGTTGCAAGATGCAAGGCATGAACGGGTGATGGATATCCATCGTGAAGACCATCACTGGTACTTAGACACGACTGGTCTAAACGGTAAAGCTACTAAGGTTGATAATCCGGAAACCTGAGAAGTGCCGATATGCATCCCAGTTGAGGGATAAGCTACAGGGTAAGGTGTTCTGAAACCTGAGAAGTGGCGATATGCATCCCAGTTGAAGAATAAGCCACAGGATAAGGTGTTCTAAACGTGGCGATATGCATCCCAGTTGAGAGGGATAAGCCACAGGGTAAAGTATTCTGAACGTCGCGATATGCATCCCAGTTGAGAGGGATAAGCCACAGGGTAAAGTATTCTGAACGTGGCGATATGCATCCCAGTTGAGAGGGATAAGCCACAGGGTAAAGTATTCTGAACGTGGCGATATACATCCCATTTGAGAGGAATAATCCACAGGTAAGGTGTTCTGAAAGTGGGGATACGCATCCCAGTTGAGAGGATAAGCCACAGGGTAATGTGTTAATTGTATGAAGGTCACTTGCGCTAGACTACAACGCCAATCGAGGACGATGGCGTGATGCAGGACGGCCGAGTGTTGTCGCTGGCAACACTGTATACCGGATATGACGTTATGTACTCGAGCAAAGGGACAAATGGTCGCATAGAGCAGCAGTCACTTATTTTCGGCTGCGTTCCCGGACGGTGATATAACCACTAGTGCTGCTTGTCGTTATAACATTTGTTAATATTCAAGTTCAGAAATAGTTAAAATATTAGAATCAAAGTAATAACGTTTGAACTCTTATATATTAACATAAACTAATTAAAATAAATAGCAAAGGATACCACTAGATTTCTTTCGTGTTGCAGTTTTTTTCGATCGAAGTTTGGACGTCTTTGTAGGCGGAGGAGGTAATTTCAAAACTTCTTCTGGTAATGAAAAAAGAGGTCGTGTTCTAATCTTAAAATCATCTGGCATTGTTATTTTTGGAATTTTTGGTAATTTAACATCAGAGGACGAAGCCCTCGGAAGCTCTTTAGTCCTTTTTGGCTTCCTTGCATTCATTTTTCTGTTAAATCCTTAAATCAAAAAAAATAATAAGCCTTCATTATAAACTGTCTATAAGTCGATTATTTATACAGAAATATAAATTTTTAACCCAAAACTTACATTTGGATTTAAATTAAAATTATTTGAATTTTTGAAAGTTAGATATACGATATTTATGAAATAACTAAACGCACACACACACACACACTTGAATCTTGACATCTACATCAGATTTCGGAAATATCAGATATTGTAAAATACATAGATATTGAACGAGCCAGTAAGCGATATTCGGATATTGTACTAATATCTAGTTTTCATATCTGATACGATTTGTATCGCCCACTTCTATTAAATAATATGTCAGTTCGTAATATCAAAAGAGAAGTTAACCTATTTCCATTTTCGTTTTTATAATTAGAATCTTAATTTACATTCTTAATGTTAATGAACAATTTTTAAAAATAATTGTTATTTAATAAAAAACGTTTACTACACCTGCCTGTTTGATCGCCCACTCAAGGTAAAGTATATTTCGACTATATATTTCTAGCGTACATCAAATCCGTTACCTTAGATTTAATTATTTACGGTAACAAATGTAACTTAATATTACTATTACAGAGAAATTAATAGCGCACTAGGCAGAGTAGGTAATGATTTTCCATTTTGATTATTGATTCCATTTCCCATGACAACATAAACATCTTGATAGCAACCAATCAAACAATGACTTTTTTATTATAATTCAATACGTCTAAATAAATACTGTTTTGTTTTCAATCACGGAGTTAAAAAATGTTTTAATTATAAATATTTTATCAAATTCCAGATGAAACAAAAAATTAAATGTTATTCAAAGGTAACTGTGTCATAAGAAGCTTAGCTTATATTTATAAGCTTTATGCATGAATTAATCAATAAAATTAGCTACCGACTAAACAGCATTGTGTAAATAAGGTTGGACTGACCTTGGAAAGATTTAATGAGTTTGGCTTATGACGTCATACAGTTCATTATAACATGTAATGCAGTTTAAGCATCAATGATGACTTAATTTTCATAAAAACTTTAAAAAACTTACTCATTTATGTGAAACATGATTTTTCATTATCCAGTTATTTATTAACATGAATTTTGTGTGAGTTAAGATTTTAAAATATTTACGAACTAAAATTTTCCACAGTATAGTTCACCTATGGTATCAATAGTGTTTATTCATAGTTTGAAGATTATGTCACATTAATTTCAGATGATATTCCAGTTGGCGAGGAGCTTCCATTCCAGTTCCGTGTGCCGAGCTGCTGAGTCCTCCCTCCTGGCTAAATTGAGGAAGAAGACAGGATACACTATAGCAAATTGCAAGAAAGCACTGGAGATGCATAACAATGATGCTGACAAGGTATTTCACACCTTGAATATTATCTAGAATAAACATTAAGACTGTTATTATAATTTTCTAATGAATTTGGTAATAATTCATCTATGTTATATTCCATTAATTACTTTAAATACTCTATACTTCCAGTGAATGAATGCATTATTGCTAAGCCATTGACTCTGCATTGGGGCTCTTGAGTTTGATTCCCACACTGGCCAATTACAGATAATTGTTGCGGATCCGGGGGTTTATTTCCCAAAGAGGATTAACGTCAGACAGACGGTTGTAAACATAGCCAATACACAATAAATAATTCACATGTTCTGCCGACACCACCTAGGTGGGATAAGGGCAGGAGATAATGGTGATGCTTCCAGTGGTCTCAATTGTCAAATAATTTATTTTTATATTATTCGGATCGGAACTCTCTCTAATTATGTTTGTATGTGTGTAAATTTCTTCTTATCCTAATGCACAAGTTGCATTGAAGATTGGAAAGGAAACATCAGCAAGTATTCTGGTGTTTTTCTATGATTATTTGGACACCAACACAACCTTTAAAATCCATTGATCAAAAATAAGTTCAAACATGTTATTTTCTTATGTTTTTAATATTTTTGTGTTTTGCAACTGATGTGATAGATTACTATCGCTTATTTTACTGTCTTATTGTCTGTTACAGTGCAATTTCAACCTCTAAAAGGGTGGTTATATCAATCACTAGATATTTCATTGCATTTCTTTGCATTTGCAATAGTAGTAATACTTCCATCTCACACCTGTGTTCTGTAAAGCCAGATTACTTCTCCAAAATAGGCTCTTCTGTGGAAGTAGCACAGCTTTACCATGGCTCCGTTGTGTGTAAATGCAAAAGTTGTGTGATCCTTACATAGGAAAATAAAATGTGATACGTTTTAATTTTCAATTTTATAGGCTGAAGGATGGCTCAATGAACAAGCCCAGGCAATGGGTTGGGCAAAAGCTACAAAGTTAGCTGGACGGACTGCTCTTCAAGGCCTTGTTGCTGTAAAATTTGATAGAAACCATGGGGCACTTTTAGAGCTCAATTGTGAAACTGACTTTGTCGCTAAGAACGATAAGTTTCAAAAAATGATAGAGGATGCAACTTTTGCTTGTTTTAAGTTTGCACACACACATTTACAGTCAAAAGGACCAGTTACAAAGGTAAGCTTATAATTATATAGGAAATATACTGCAAATATTTGTTATAAAAATTGAATTAGGAACACTACTTTCATATTTGATCATTTGTTAAATAAAGCTCATAAACAAAGTTTTAGGACAATGTGTAATTCTTATATCATAATTTAAAATCTGTTGCATATTTATATTACAAAAATTATGTACTTATTGAGAATGTTGAACACTTATTTATATTTTATAGCCAGCCTGTCATTGAAATAATAAATTTATTTTCTAATAAGCAGGCATAAAAATTTATTTTTAATATAAGCTGACATTTATAAAGCTGCAGTATAATTTTTTAAGTTTTTAATTTCCTAAAACCCATCTGTTTTTAGATGGAGCTAGACAGTGATCAATTGGGAAACTTATCAGTTGGAGAAGGAAAGAAGCTCTCAGAGATACTGGCATTATTTATAGGCTCTGTTGGTGAGAATGCCGTCTTAAGAAGAGCAGAGTGCTGGAAGGCCAACAATAGCGATGTAAAAATTGCAGGATATACACATCCAGCTCCTGCGGTTGCAGGAGAATATTCTGCTGGAAAATATGGTGCATTACTTGCTTATAAACAGGCTGATAATCAAGAAGACATTGGTAAAAAGCTTTGTCAACATATTGTAGGATGTGCCCCAAGAAAGATTGGTAATAAAGAAACAGACGAACCAGCAAAGAATATTGATGATGAAACATGCCTGATTTATCAAGAATATTTATTAGACCCATCCTATACAGTGGATGAAGTTCTTCAGCAAAATAAGGTTGAAATCATAGATTATGTAAGGTTTTCATGTGGAGAAGCAGCTGAAGCCAATATGCCTGGTGTGGAAAAGCAACCCTTAGATACGGTTCAAACAGTACAGTAATAGACATGTAGCTTTAAATTTTAAACTGTTAGAATTGTTAATACATGTATTGATATTATAAAATTATGTTGCATTTAACAGCGCAATAAATTCTTAACTCATAATTTCTGAAAAATTTATTTACACAATAATGCCATAAAATATTATCTGTGAGAGTCTACATTAATAAAATTTTTCTTCTTGGCTTTCCCCTTCCATAAAAACGTTCTGCAGTCTTTCTTCCAGAACAAGGCTATCTGGTTAGGTTCAAAACTATAGCCATGATATTTTAGTACGTCTGGGGTGACCACATGCAGAGCGAGTGTATTTTGTTCTCTGGTCCTAAAGGGGCCTGCGGCAGCTGGACGCAATAAACAACCGCATGGACACACCGTTGCTATTTTCGGCAACGGTGGCACATTCATCCTGTTGCATAGGTTTATCCTTTGAAAATTGCCACAGAACTTAAAATCCTCTACGGTCCCTGTAAAAGATTGCGTCGCTCGTAGTGTCAGCGGTCTCGCGTTTTGGTTGTCTGCATTACTCCTAAAGCCCACTGCAGACAATGATTTTTTAGTTATATTTGGACACTCATCAAGATTTCTCTCCTCGTAATCGCTTTCTTTATCTGAATTTTCATCTGTGTACATGACTATTTTCAAAAAACAATTTTTCAAATTCAAAACAATAATTTATATGACAACATACGTCACGTCATTATACTTTTATTCGTCAGTATGTATAATTTACTTTTATGTTGAAAAAAATAAGATCGACACTACAGACAACTACGTAGCCGTATATGATTACTCTGAATTAATTTTAAATACACTGAAATATTAGGTTGCCGCCCGGTTTTGAATTTTTTTTCTTTGAATTTAAGGATCAACCTAAGATTGAGCATTGGATTCAACCACCATATTCCCCTGACTTAAGTCCGTGTGATTATGGTTACTTTCATCAGTTAAAGAGAAGAATCGGTGGTGTTGCTTACTCTGATGCCAATGCCTTGCGAAAAGCTTTGGATAAAGAAATAACCGATGGCAACCAACATGGAAGGTGAAAAAGTTACCTTAGCGCTGACAAGCGTTTATAAATTCGCAGTGTTGAGTAGTTGATACCTCTAGTTGATCTTTAAATATATCCACCGATCCGAACAACCTAATAACAATTTAACCGTGCCGTTTTCTTCTTCGTCGCAAGAATAGCCTAATAAGGTTTTAACAAGCTTATACAATTACTATATTTATGTTGTTTTGGTACAGAGACGTTTGTGCGGTGTGCATGTTACCCGTAGCATGCGACACTAGCGCTACATTCTAAAAGTATCAATTCTCTGTCCTTCAGCAAGTGATTGTCCATGTCTCTTATACCCCTGTGTTTTGTCTGGTGAGTGAGGTAACCGGGGCCCACATGTGGCAACTCATCTCAAATCCTACGGGTGTTAAAAATGTCCATGAGCGGCGGATATCACTTAACATCATATGAACTCATAATAAAAAATATTAGCTCACAATAAAAAAAACATGAAGGAATATGTAGAACACAAGGGTTCAGATCAGGTATATTTTAGTTCGATTAGTGATGTTTCTGTCTCTAAAACCTTTGCCCATCTGTTATGGCCATGCCAATTCGTCTGCGGATTTCTTGCTCGCAACCACATCTTTGTGATTACAAAGATATGGCTGCGAAAGATTACTCAGGCTAGGTATTGAAATTTGTCCACGGTTGCATATTCTCTTCAGCACGTTGGAAGTATGCCAATCGGTGAATTAACATGATCTGGAGTTTTATTGATTTTATCGTCCAGTTTCTGGAACACTCATCATCGTAGAAGTTAACCAATATCTTTGTAGTCAAATCTTTGTGATTACAAAGATATGGCTGTGAGTGATTACTCAGGCTAGGTATTGAAATTAGGTTGCATATTCTCTTAACAAACATAATTTGTGTGGTGCAAAAATTGTCTGCATTGCAACTGGTCCATAATGGTTTTAAAGAAACATCGAACTGCAAGACTGATAGACCCGAAAACCCCAAACCCTTTAGCGGTAAACGCAGAAATATCCTACGACAATACGCAGTGCTCGTGGGGTGTCGATCTTTGAATATATACTTGTATGTCGATAAATCCAAGGAACCTGAAGACTATCCGTGAGCTTTGTATACGTTGAAGCATTACGTAGTTCTTGGAAAACCAAAAGCTTCATCCAATAACGATAAACAGACTTTTACACTGTTTAGGTTGTAATGATATTTGTAGATTTATAAGTTCTCTGCCAGTGAAGTAATAAAAGAAGTTATAATGTCATTTCAGGATATTACAGTCGCTTTCCGAGGTTCCAGCCGGGATTTTGTGCGGATGTCTGACGATTCCTGCATAGGGGCATACAATTTATAACATTGGTATAAACCGTTTTCGTATTTTAAGGAAAAGCAGGTAAGTTCAAGATTATCATCTATGGTGTATTGTTTTATTATAACAGTATTACATATATTTACACTAAAAATAAAGTGACAGCCGATATATATTCCACTGCTGGGCGAAGGTTATTATTAGAAATTTTGTTATTAGAAAATATGTAGGTTTCCTCACCACTGAGCAGGAGATCATGTGTTAAGTGATGTCAGCACTTAAAATTGGAATTAACAATGTCATAGGTACCGGGATTTGAAGTCAGGTTGCTCGAGTAGGTAAACATATTAAAATAAAACCGAGCACCTGGATACTGAGCCTTTTTTTTTGGTATCGGGGGGGAAATCTTCCAAAGACACCCTGTCACGTTACATGACAGGGTTATGTGAGGTTCTTACCCACTAGAACCCCCTCGGTGGCCACCCTCTGTACGTTTGGAGGGACTCCGGGATCTCCCACGGAACGCACCGGTGTCCCTCAGTACTGCGCGTGAGCACTCCCCGGAGAAGGATAGCTTCCCCGGTTCCCTCACCATCTTGCAGCAGCTTGAGACCACTTCGAGCTGCTGCCAATCCGTGTCCCCTTTTAGTCGCCTTTTACGACAGGCAGGGAATACCTTAGCCCTATTCTATAAGCCCGCAACTACAGGGCTCTGGATACTGAGCCTACAATGGCTTCTATAATTTATTTTATAAAGGTATTCCAGTAAACGATATCATAAATATTTGTAAAATATACGTTGTTTACTGACATATCTGGAATAGTGAAATGTGTATATGCCAGTACTCGTAGTACGCACTGCTAATATTCCTTGAACAAAAAATTAAAACATGCTCAACATGTTTTCAATCTGACTTAATTTTTTAAAATGACCATTAAAACTGGTTTGTGCAAATCCAAACTATAATCAGCATATCTATGACTAAAATGGAGTCGCCTCGTACTAAACAACGAGCGCGTCGAACCGTATATCCCGTGACGTACCGTGCGAGCGAAATCCCAGTGCGCAGCAACTTTACAACTGACCAGTCTAAGCGCCACCAACCACATGTCACACATCTCCAATTCATTTTTACAAAATTCTGATATTTTGCAAAAAGTGTGGAGGAACTATCTGCAGCCATGGATGATTATCAGGTATATACCGTACAATTTAATAAACAATCCAAAATAACATATCTGAAACTTGTTTTTTCTGATATCTTTATTTCTTCATTTTATTTTTGGAAAAAAAAACAGGTGATTTTTTCTTATATTTTTCTGATTAACTGGAGTCTGACTCGAGTTTGCCCTGATACCCTCTGTAAAAAGAGGGGACCTTTGCCCAGCAGTGGAATATATATAGGCTGTTAGTTTAACTGAAGTCTGGTATTTATACTGTTATTCGATTTATTTTTTATTGTATACAAATACGACGTAGAATTGACACTAGCGCACCAAAACTGATGCACATTTTGCCAATTGGTGTAATTAGACTGCAATTCTATAGACGTCTATCTCTTTCCGTATCATACGTTCTATATAACCTGTTACATTCACTTATATATTTCATATTATAATGTAAAGCAAAACAATTTTAAACACCGCGCAGTATGGATATGTCTTTATTAAAACATCATTGGAAGGGGTATGTTTAGCAAAAGTTATCATATACCTTTTGTTTCATTCATTCAAAAGTTTCCAAAACAGTTGGTATCTAAAGCGTTATAAAGAAGACATGGTATCGAGTTCATTGAGAGTTGATCACTATTCGACCATGTGATCGTCCCATATATATATTTTATTTCGTAAAATCCGTTCTTAGCTGCCCTCTACTCGGCGAAATAAATATTCCTACCAAATTTCAAGTCTCTACGCCTTATGGTTCCAGAGACATCGGGAAGAGTCAATTATCGATGGAAAACTCATATATGTATATATAATAAAAGATATACTTGACGTTTAAACAGTCTGCATATAATTAAGTAGCTAACATGATATAAATTACGTTTAATTCCAGTTACGTTGTCATATTCGTATTAAATGTAAACTGGATTATGTAACTGAGTTTTCAATTTTTTTATTGTTTACAAATTTATATTTTTTAGTTATACAACTATATATTTATAAACATTTTTTTATGTAAAAAGTTGTCAAGCGAGCAGACGGTTCACCTGATGTTAAGTGAATATCGCCCATAGACATCTGCTACACCTGAGGGTTGCAGATGCGTTGTCAACCTTTTGAAAATTGGGCTCCGGCCACCTCACTCACCAGACGAAACGCGAAAGTATTATACTTCCACTTTACGCCGGTCTTCTGTGAGGTCGTGGTACTTAACCGGACGAGCCTGCCCTATTGTGCAATAGCCGAGGCTGCTGCGTGGCCCTATCACCGTAAAAATACATAATTGAGAGGTATATGCGCCGCTGTATAGAGAATCTTTATTACCTACTTTGATTTGCTTTTAACTAGCTCAAAACAAACTCGTAATCGATAATTGATATGTCAATTATAGAAATGTTTTTAAACAAAACAAATAATAAAGCAGTTTGGAGTTGACCAAGCCGAGAGATGAAAACGCGATATTTGATGCCCGGCCGGCGAGTGACCAGCGCACGCCACGTCTGCGACTTTCGCGGCATTTAATTTATTCTTTTTTTAAAATACATAAGTGCAGGCAGCGTGAAACAATTTTCTTTTTTGCCGCCGGCCACGATCGGTGTTTAGTTTAGTCTGTGTTGTGTGCATGACCGTTGCGGTCGTCTCGTGTCTCACAGTAGTAAGTTTACCTGCTTGAATGGTCCGATTGAGCGCGGTGGGAGCGTCTGGCGTGGCGCGCGGCGGTGGAAACAGTCCCCTCCTGGCTGTTGACCCGAAAATGCACATCCTAGAGTTCGGCGCCGATCAAGTAATTGCTTTTATATTATACTATACTTGCCTCAACCACCTGGCACCTACTAACTAATATCTACCAATGTTGCTATAAAATTCAATTGCTGTAGAAAAGCATCAAATAAGTTTAGTTATTTTTAAAACCGACTTTGTTTCGCTATTAAACAACATGAACTTTACGAAATGAAGGATTAACACTGGTAGTACTCGTGGGGAAACGATCAAGAAATTCTTATTTGCCCTATACACCGACGATAGCACAACAACCAACACAAACTACGCGAGTGTGTAAGTAGGTATGTTTAAAAATATATAATATCCTTTCTATAAGAGAAGGCTTGAAATAACTATATAAAGCTAAGGAATAATCTAACAACACGTATAAACATCTACTTATAATTTATGGCTATACCTTACGTATAACAGGCGATAACCGATGCTTCGCAATATTTCTTTACGTTGAATGAAGATCGAAGCTGTGACCGGCAACCGTTAAGTCGACCCAATTACTTTTATTTCATTTTAACAAGACACGAGCATGAATAATGCATTTTAGCTTTATCGGTACCTAGTTAATGAAGTAATTATAAATAAAGAACACGGTGACAATGGTTTTCCTAAAATCTTGCCAGTCTTTTCTTTTTTCAATATTTTATTATTAATTCTCAATAAAAAATTTTCACATAACTCAATACTTCTATTCAATAAAAGCTATGGTTGTCAAGAACACGGCAAATATAACCAAAACTATTCAGCTCATAGTTGAAAAGGTTTACTTAGGTATTTGCGACGATAAAGTTTACAATACATTGAATACCACTGGAAGTTAATCTTTATTTGGCCGCTCCCTGAACTATAATGTCCAGCCTTGAATTTACTGCCATCCATTATTACAACCTATGCGCAAACACTGAAACAAATTAAAGGCGACTCTAGTTGTTATATAAGCTAAATGCATCTTATTTTTACTTTTATACAGTGATATTTTATACAATATATTTTTCGGATATTTTACCCGATATTCTATACTACATACCTATTATATGGTATAAAATATTCATATATTGCTTTTACACTAATATATTTTAGACATGAGCATGAATAAAGTAAACAGATGAACTACGCGAAATATGATTGACAGTATGACATGATAAATTTATTCTGATTTAAGTTTCCTTTAATTCAGTTCTTTGGGTCAGAATTAGCATTAAAAATAAGTAATAAATACACTTAAACACGACAATATGTTATGAATCATATTAACTTCTATATAGTTTAAGCTTTAAACTATAAATTTTAAGGACTAACTATTAAGCTCACGTTTATATTTATAAAAATTAGTGTCTTATTTCTATCTATCTTAATTAGTTTATGTTTGTCATGACGCGACGTCAGCTTATGATTGCAACTAAAATGAACCCTCTCCATAACATTTGCTACAATGTCATATTCTACTTAGAACTATAAAAAAAACTCCTAGTTAAATACTAAATATAAGAATAATAAGTTTTGATTTTTGGCGGCATACGTTCTCTTGATTGTTATATGAAAACCAAATGAAATCTCTGGAATACTTCATTTCGTATGCCAGAGATTCCGTACCCGAATGATTTTTTTTTATTAATCGATCAAGCAGTTCAACAGATGTTAAGTGACTACCGCTGCCCATGGACATCACATAGCACCTGGTGGGTTGTAGATGCTTTGCCAGCCTATTTAAAAGTAGGCCCCGGTTATCAAATCAAAATCACCAGACGAAAGACAAAAGTATTGTACTCCTGCTTCACGCAGAGGCCGCGGTAATTCCCCGGCCGTGCCTGTGGTTTGTGCAACGGCAAAGGCTGCTCAGCTACTGCGTTGCCACACAAAGTACTTATTACGTAACAAAACGAACGTAATATCATACATAGTACTCATAGTTGATGGGTTTGGAGAAATGAAACCAACTTGATTGAGATTACTGTCTAATATTCTATATAATCTAGTCTAATATCTGATTAGTATTATATTTATTTGTGGGTTGATTTGTGTGGAACACCTAATGGTGAAGTCCGCCATTGTATGCTATTGTGCAAAATGTTTTTAAATAAATAAAAATTATATGTGTAGTACACAACAGTGCTGATACAAGTAGGTAGATAATGAAAACACATTTGTACTTACTTAGTTATTATACCTTTACATTCTAAAACGTAGTTCATTATGGTGCTTTGTGACAGGACGATGAGGGCAGCAGCGCACGCGCCGTGGACGCCGCTTTCCGCACGGTGCCACGCGATCACACCGCCTTCCTCGTGTGGAAAATCACTGTACGTAAATAAATATACGTTTAGTATTTAATGTTTTCATACTTTAAATACACAATTAACACTTAAGCACATCTTTGGTAAACCTGACACGTCAAAGAACGTTTTGTGCACGTGTGTCAATTTAAGGGAAAATCTAAATAATTTGGATAATAAGTTTTATAGACATAAGTAATCAAAGTAACTAAATGGCGGGAGTGTTATCGGCTGATGCTGTATTACCAAATTTGTGTAATACGTAGAAACTTTAGATAATTACAAATATTTAACTTATTATAACTTCTACTCTGTACTACTCTACTCTTATTAAAATAGAAAGCAAATAGAAATAATAAGCAAGGGAGAAAATACAATTTTAACATTTCGTAAACATCTAAGGATGGATTAAATTGCGTGTAAATAATGTAATAATGTATACGTAATTCTAAAATTTTTTTTTTCTCTAATTTCACATATAGCAAGCAGTTGTTTAGATTCCGATAAATTCATTTCAAATGTCACTCGTTACATAGGTATTATTCACATAACGAAATGACGAAGTTGCTCAAAACATGCTGCACGATTCATCAATTACGCCTCGAATGGTATTGGGCAATCACGCATGTCAACTCGCGTCTGGAACTCATCCGAGTCTGATTTCACTTTTGCTTGTATATAACACTCGCATTCGCCATATTGATATAAAGAAATATCAATGAAAAAGAGAATAAGTAAAAAAATCTACTTTTTTATCGTAAAGAATCATACTAATGATACATATTGTCTATTAAAAGCTAAAACATATCGTAGTTTTCAGGTTGATACGTTATACCTAAAACACCACTCCCCTCTAGAATTTCTAGAACATTAACCTAACTAAAATAAACTTGTGTTCATCGTAATCGTAACCTTGATTTTATATTGGCGGAATTTGGAAAAACGTAAGTACGTTTTATTGAGATCTTGAGATATCAAGATCGTATATATGCCCGTTTTTAACCTATATTTGGGAATAGGGTACAATGTCTCGATTGTAAACCATAAAAGATCATCTTTTACCTTTTTATAGGTCAATTAAATTTAACATTTTGTTATGACAAACCCTTATAGGCAAGGGCATTTTCAATGTATGCCATATAACGGGGTTTGATCCCTGATACTCGTTAAAATACCTTATAGTAATTTTAAGAATTAAAGTACTCAGCAGTGAAGAAAATCATCCATAGGAAACTTCATAAACGAGTAATAATACCAATATTAAGACGTTTCCCGGCTCCAACCTTTATTAATTTTATATCTTCCCTTAGGAGAAAGTCCTTGCGAATGTTACAGGCATTTGAGATGTATTTATCGAACTGAAAACTATGACTTCGCTCTAAGAATCCTTGAAAATAAATTTTCAATATTTTTACCAAAATTTACTAAAATAAAGTTAGAGTTACTTAGTTCCTCTTGAAATAAATTTTAAATCCTAATCAAGGCACATTGTCAATTTTATATCAAATTTAACAATGGAATAAAACCTTAGCTGCTTGTATATAGCAGACAAGAAATATGTCAAAACAGTCCAATTTTGTAATTGATTTTAAAATTTGGGCCGTAATAATAAAGTTATGATTAAGTAAGAAGTTGCTAAAGAAGTATCGTTTACCTTTCGCTTGAATATAACCGTGTAGGAATTACGAAACTCATAAAAGATTGGGAACTTAAAAGCAATTCCCGACTTGGTTGATATAGTTTTAATTTTAACTTTAAGTAACGCCTCATTTGTGTTAAGTTCCTTTTATTTGTAAATCATGTCAGATGGTGGTAATAAGCTTCGCACGACGATTCTTCGCACGACATTGTGTTATATTATTAAATGATAAAAGTATTTATTGGGCAATTAGGATTGTTTGCTATTAAATAATCTTTGAGAGGTTTTCTGTTCCAATTCATTATTTGTTTTTTGAAAGTCCAACAATTATAAAAGTTATTTTTGGACGGAAACTTGTCTCGTGTTTGTGTTCAGTTACATGTTGAATAACAATGATTTAATTTACAATACAGCTGCAGAATTGCGGCAATAACACTATTGTTTAGGGTCCAATGTACGCATGTCTATACAATCACACGTCTCTGTTAGCCATTGTATCTAAGTAACGCAATGGGCCATCGGTCTTTACTATGCATCTCCACATAAACAATGCTGCGGTCGAAGTCGGCCGTATTGAGACACAATTTCACTGTAACCATTGGCTGCCGTGTGAATTTAGCTACTAACAATACGTAACGTATAATACGTAGCATTATGTTGTTATCTTCACGAACGTTTAAAGAGGTCCAGCAATTTGCCGCATTGCAATCTTTCCCACAAAGTTTTTGCTGTCCCAACTTAGTGTGAATCACATTTTGCTCAATGTGCCGTGAACGTAATACGAGATCCAATCGCTAAAGGAATGTACTTTTCAATTATAAAACGCCTATTTTGCAAAATATCTACATTATAATGTAGATCTCGTTTTAATATCTGCACTAAACTTGAGTAAACTGAAAAAATTGTCATACAACACTATTATAAGACTTATACTATTATAACAGTATTAAAGTCAAAAGTAAGTATATAATATTATGTGACAAAAATTCAATGTAGTGTTAGGTTTACTGTCAAATTTATTTTTTGTTTAAACACAAATACAAGTGAACTGTTCGGTGATAAACAAAATCGAATACTTCCTATTACAGAGAAAAGAAATAACAAGTTATAACGCTTAACGTTTATCTGTCCTTTCTATATCTTCCATTCTTCCAACGATTTCTTAAAATTGCCTACGTGCTTTTATTGTATTCTTGTGAGATAATATTACTTATCATATTGCAATTGAGCGTCGTTTATACTAATGTTGTAACAGCGGTTAATGGTTTTTGATTTGTTGATTCTTTTTCGTAGAAAATGATAGCAGCTTTAGAATAATAGAAAAAGAAATTACTGTACTTCGATATTTTTATTACTTTTACGATATCATTCTAGATTCTAGAACATCTCACGACGACGGGGACGGACTCTACCATTATTTGTAAATATCTTGATCGATAAAACTTAAGCACAATAAGATGTAAGTGCATAAATAAAACCATAAAATCAAACAGTATCTTGAAACATCAACTAGAAAGCGCGCGAGTAATACCAATTCTCTGCAATTAAATAACGATAGGAGTAGATAAGAACGCACGCTCAAATTGAAAATATTTAGAATAGCAAGACAACATGCACACAGGGACTAACATTGTTGTAAAAAAACATATAGGAGTATTAAAGCAAGGCATTCGCCCGACATTCACTTAGACACGTATCATTCATGCAGTTATTCTTATAATAACAGGGATCTCTTTGTAAGACAGCGACAACTATTCCAAAATTGTTTACGGTAGGAGTTTTAAGAAAAGTTTATTCTGCTACCTGCCTAATGAGAATAATATTATTTATGTGTATCTAATACTTTATTAATGCCGATTGGCGAACAGACCAACAAAAAATAATTATTAGAATAGAATAAATTAAGACAAGTTTAGCTACAAAAATATATTTGTATATCCATACTCATAGTTTTTTTAGTTCTTAATACTTTGTAAATAGATATTAAGTTGGTCTGAATAAAGAAAAGGCTTTATTATTATCAATACTTTCTTAAGGTGTCGTTAAATTCGTCTCTGTTATGGGAGTGATATAAGGTTATTTTTTAAATACTAGTATTTGAATAATTAGTATTTTTATTGCAATGATATTTTATACTTCTAGAGCAATGATAGTGTCTACTTCCGAACTAAAAACTATGTTGCTGTCGCTACACTTCAGATCAACAGCTCCATAGGTATTATATGATATTTAGATAGCATTAAGACCCAGCATCGCAGTGCAAAAGTAATTGCCATTAAATATCACGACAATGACACGACCAATCATAGATTTTTCAATTGACAGTGAAAAGAAAAAAAGTGTAATTATTTATAAAGGAAATATACTATAAATATATTAATATGAATAATACTATAAATAATTGCTTATTATTATCTGATACGCCTTTGCTGATTTTTAAATCGATCTTGATCCATTTTATTATTAATAATTAAATGTGTCTATGTTCGATCCGTAGACGTGATTTGCATGTTTTATAAACATTCGATCTCGCCAGTGCTCGACGCGTGTCTCGCTCGGAAAACTTTCGGTTTTCCATACTTTCTCTTTTCTTCGGACGCTTATCTGATGCTTCTCTTACGAGAACTTACGGACACATTAATTTGTTTTGATAAATATCATCATAACTTAATTGTTATGTTTATCTCATCACGTATTTATTTAATGCACATTTGATTTCATTATTTGACCCGAATGGCGTAGTGGGTAGTGTACCTGCCTCCTGCGCCAGAGGGTGTGGGTTCGATCCCCATTACTGGAAACTTGAAAATATTGTGTGATGAACATATTGTTTTTCTAGTGTCTGGATGTTTATATACGTATAATATGTATTGATTTACAAAAAAAACTATGTTTAAATAAGTTTATCAGATGTCTAGTACCCATAGTACAGGCGTTGCTTAATTTGGGACTAGAGAAGGTTGTGTAAAAATGTGTCCTAAGATATTTATTGATTATTTATTTATTTATTTATTAAGCAATGCAAGATGTGAATCTCTTTGATCGATTATATATGAATAAAATAATATAGGTCTGCCGTTGTGCGCGCATCACGAAAGAAACTATTGGATAAATTTTAATTAATTCTGGTAAGTTTTGTTTCTTATAGAAAAGCCTTTATCTTAAAATACTGTGATAATTATATTCATTCAATGTGATGAGTCCGTGGTGCAGTTGCCAAAGTAATGGCTTTAGCGTGGGCGCGATTCGCACACGGGACAACTATTTGTGTGACCCATAGATAGTAGTTTCGCATCTGGGTGTTTTTCTGACTAGGTTATTGTGAGTTTTCTTATCAGCCAGTTTTGAAGTAAGAATATTCATCTTCCCAAAGGTCTAATGAACGCAA